ATTTCTAAACATAAAAGAAATATGAACAAGTCATTAGTATATAATTTTTCTAATAGAATTAGAACTTAATTTTAAAAAAATATTCCAAAAATAAAACACCCAAACAAGCTTCATTAGACTACATCCCTGTATTTTTATTTTTTAATCATGCCGATCATTAATTTTTGTCAAAAACAAGATTCGCTCGGTCTTTAATTTTCCCTTATCAGCTTCAAAAGCAAATAGTAGGTGCTGCCTTTTTTTTAGCATTAACGTTTCCTTTTTTAAAAAACAAAAAGTTCTTAAGATGGGCTTCATTACACTCGCACTTCTTTAAGCTATTTTGCCACTTTTCTTTTCCTCTTTCCTATTAATGTGTACAATTAGCTAATAAATTCAAAACAAAGTTCAATAAATAAAATAGGGTAAGCGTCATTTTAATAAAATAATCCTGAAGTTTAAAGTTTTCCAGTGTTGTAATTTTAATATGCTTATAATTATGCATAGTAATTTAAAATATACGAATTAAATTATTTCTCAATTTAAAAAATATTGTTCCATGCTGTAAATTCTAAAATTTTCTATGATTATATTAATTTCTTGTGCAACTACTTCTCGTTTAAAATATATTATAATTATTGCTTACAACTGTAACAAAATTTACAGTGATGAGGAAATAATTCTAACTTAATGATTACCCTCAGTGTTAAAGAAAAAGTAAAGAAATGTAAGAACGAAATTCTCCGTTAATTGTTAAATTTGGTTTGAACATGGAAAAGGCACATTTTTTGCTATGTCCATTTTCTTAATCACGCATTTCGAGCTGTGTCTATTTTTTTAAACACGCGTTTTGAGCTATGTCCTTTTTCTTAAACACGTACTTCGAACTGCGTCAATTTTCTTATAGACGCATTTCGAGTTGTGTCCATTTTCATTCACTCGCACTTTGAGCTGTGTACATTTTCTTAACCATGCATTTCGGTGTCCAAAATATAAAGCACACAGACCAGATTTTTTACACAAAATATTGTGAAATAAATTTTTTATTTCAAATTTAAGTCTGTTCTCCTTGCTGTAAAAATATAAGCACAGATTAGATACTATTACTCAGTATCAGCCCTGAGGCTCTCGCTAATTCAGCCAGTACTGACTGAATATTCAGCTTGAATAGAATATTTGGCTTAGGCTTAGCTAACAGTGGTGAAAGGAAAGGGAAAAATCTACAAAAACTCGAAAACATAATTATTTTTTTTAACAAACTCTTTGCCAAATTTTTTTAATTTTATTTCACATAAAGTAAGCAAATATTTTTTACAACTAGCTAGTTAAGATTTACTATTAGCAAACAAGCAAGTAAATAGCTATTACAGTTACCAAGCTAGTTAACACAGTCGTATAGTTTCAAAACCAAATAAAGATTTTTTTCTTTTTATGATGCGAACTTGATAAATTGTCTCACTTTTAACGGCAGATTTATCCCTCATATTTCGAGCTTGAAATCAAATTTGTGATTTAGATGAGATTTAGTTTGAAATGATTTTTCTCTTCAACTTATGGAAAAACCAAATGCGTACACAAAAGACCTGATAATGCATCAATACGTTTTCAAATGCTGCTAAATTAAAATATGCCACCTACCTTACGAATAGTTTTTATTCCACAACCAATTAAAATATTGCAAAGGAGCTAAAATATTGAAATCACCAACATGCTGCATGATTAATTATTTGTTGTGGTGCATAGATACATCTTATTACCAACAAACCTCAAACGGAAACTATGATTGATCTATAAATGTATAAGAATTTCCCATGTGGATAGAATTTCCGGTAGACCTAAAAATAAATAAATAATGTTTATTATTTAAATTGCATTTTTTTAAGTGGTGTTACCAAAATTTTTTAAGCTGTAATTTTTCATGATCAAAGAACCATGTTCTAAGGTAAGAAAAAAAATTCCTAATCCAGTTTGATTTTTGCTGAAAAACAACCTCCTATTTTCAAGCTAATATATTTCAGTGTAGGGGAGGAACCAGTATGGATAATTTTTACAAATTCGCAGCAAAAATCGTACTAATCATTATTTTGAAATTATCTAGTATATTTTTCATTAAAATTTGAAAGTTTATCTACAGTTTGAATGACACAAAAGCTAAATGGGATATATACTTTAATAATAATCACAAAAATAAATGTTTTTGTTTAGACAAGCCTAATGTCATAAGGCTAGTCATTTTAAAACAAATTATTTAATCCATTTTTACTTATAAGAAAGGGAAGTGAAATAAAAAATTTTATTTCAGGAACTTGAGCAAATTATCTTAATCTTTATTATGATTAATGTTCAAAGCATATTAAAAACGTATATTCTAACTTCACTCATTTTATCAAGAGATTGTTCTAGAATATTTAAAGGGGTAGCGCGTAATCAATATTTCTGGGGGTACTGAATCGGAGATCAATCGTTCTCTGATACAGGTCAAAAATTACGATATGTGGATGAATGAATGGATGTATGAATGGGTCCGCCCTATAAACGGGTATGTGACTGAAGACGATTTCTTGGCAATAGATGGCGCCATTGAAAAACAAGAAACGCACACTCTGCCTTAAATTTAGTCGGTTTCACCAAGCAGGCTTGCTATTGTGGCAAGTGACTTTAGAAACAACAACAACGCTTTACTTTTTCAATATCGATAATGTTAATGAAATATCGATTTAAAATGACTTGGTCAAAAAGACATAAGCAATTTAAACAAATATATAACACCAAATAATAGCGGGGCGATGATTTTAAATGTAAGTAAAATTAAACAAAATTCGCCTACCTTAATTGTTATTACACTGGCACTTTAAATATTGCAAGAATATTAAATAAATAATCCCAAGAAACTGAAGCGGTAAGATATTACTAAATTAAAAACTTCATTCGCTTCAAAAATATACAAATCGGAAATAATACTCATTCACATCTAGCAAATCTTGAAAATGTGTACCTCTTTTCGAGCGCTTGAAACATGTCGACTGTTATTTCCTATTTAGCGAATAAAGTTTACCGAAGCGAATCAAGTAGTATTTCCTTACTACTTTCGCGTCTGTAACTATGTATCAGGATACCTACAGTTTTTGAAAAATTTAATAATTGTAACGAAAATGAGAAAAATTTCGATCAATAGAAAAGGAAACGGCGATTTATAAAGAAATTCTCGCGCACGCGCTATGAACCTCTAAAAGCATCAACGTCAGAGTTGTGGGTAACCATAACCCAATGATCTCTAGATTATATCCACCACTCTACGTTATTTAGTAAAATAAATCTAAGTGTACGAGAAATGGGCAGACCTCTAAACGTTAAAGTGGTTTCTCAAAAAAAAAAAGGTAAGGTTAACTTAACACCACTAAAATACTCAAAGAAACCCTAATTATAGTCCCACACCTATGTGTCCAAACCAGTGATTCCCAAAGTGGTCTATATCGACCTCCAGGGATCAACGACAACCTGCAAGGGGTTCATGTCAAGCGAAAAGAAAATTGGGGGTCCATGAAATGAAAATGGGGGTCAACAATAGTGGATCTCATATAAGCAGGTCGTAACTTTAGTTTTGGCATTTCATGAATGGAATAATCAACAGACACTGATTGTACCTATTTACTTACATTATACTACCTTATAATATAAAGACATAACTCTATCTACATTCTACATAATTTATAAAAGTAGCTATGAAGTAAAAATTGTACTAAAATACAAGTTATTAGGATTATTTTCTGATTTGTGAAACTGAATTATTATAAACTAGCAGTTGCCTGCAGCTCCGCCCGAGTACGTTTTTATTTTCTCCTAGTGTAAGGCTTTATTTCGTAACAAAAAGTATTTTTCCGCTGTAAATTTGCTTCCACGGTAAATTAATTTGAATTAAATTAATGAACGCATAAAATTAACATGCGTTTTTTTCTTAAGTTTTTCACACTACACTTCACTACAGTTAGAAATTTAAATCTTTCACAGTGAGTAGCACTACACCAGGTGTCTAATAAGTTGATGAATTTATAAAAAATCAATATCAGGTAAGTATGGCGTCTACCCAAAACCGAAAAACATAGCAAGGGGTCTACGAGACAAAAAAGTTTAAGAATCATTGGTCTAAACTAACCCTGTGAAGTCATTTATTGGATTAAAATCATTAGTAGTTAGTAAAAAAAAGGGGGGGAAATCAAAAGTGACTAAAAAAATCTGTAAAAAGCAGATCCATTCACATTTTAACCAAAATGTAAGAAATAACGCTAATTTTTTTCTTAAACAATTCATAGTTTTCCACTGATACTGTAATTAAATTGCTATTTCGAATATAATCTGGATAATTTAATTAATTTCATTTTTTTAAAATAAAGTAATTAAAATCAATTGTCAGAACCTATTGCTTTGAATAAATATTCAATATAAAAACCCCATTTGCAGCAACTATTTCATAAATATAGAACATGGAAAAAGTGAGTTGAAAACTAATAATACTATTGCAATAATAGTTAATTCTTAGAAATAGTATAAATTTTTGTCTCAATGGTATTTCAAACCAAGAGATATTTTAAAAAATTTGTCTCGATATGCCTTATTTAATTTAAGTTTTGCATGATTATTGGTTTGGTGCTCAACAATTTATAAACTATTGTTGTCAAATAACATGGTACTCTAGGAGTTTTACTTTTTACAATGAAACACAATTTTTAAGACGGCAGTTTTACAAACTTGAAGATATTCTCATTTCTTAAATCTTTCTCTTTTAAATTTCTTTAATGATTTTATTATTGAGCGAGATAAAATATATCCAACACAACAAAGACATAATCATACATCCTTCTCACTAAATAGTTTAAAATTGTTCAATATTTGAACATTAATTCCCAGAAATGTATAAAATGTAATTTCAACACATTTCTCAGAGGTCAACAGCCTTAATTGGGGAAAAACAAAAATGCTTTTAAAAGTAAGAAAGTAATATTTAAATTTAAAAAAAAAAAACATTTTTATTGAATGATAATTTTATTTTGTATAAAAGATATAAAATCTGTAAAGTAAAGGACATAGCAGGAACAATAAATAAGCCCTGATATTTATCATACAATGCATAAATCATTAAAATGCCAAAACATGTTAAAACTAATTATGTTTATTTAAAAAAATATTAAAATGGAATGCATTTTATTGTACATAATTTTGTAGATGATATAAAACCAAAAACATTATTTATCCATTTATAAAATTAAACAAAGGACTAGTAAACATTGTCATGGTGATATATATGAATGAACACAAAATTTAATATTCCCATTATTGATTTCAAACATATTAATGATACAAGTAAGTATCACAATGGATTAAAAGAATTAAACAATGTAAACCTCAATGTAAATTCTTTTTGTATAAATGGTAAGGCTAACAAGGGCAGAAATTAAATCATTAGTTGCTAATTAACATAATAAATACAAACAATAAAATTGACTAAGATTATAGTCTCAGCACAAGAAGGAAAAAAAGCATACAAGATAAATTAATAAACACATATTTTGATTTAATGAATACACACAAACTTTAAAGAAATTGTTTAAGGTCCTTCAGCCAATGCATTTTGAATTCTCAATTAAAATTTTGTTTTCTATTTCTAGTGCAAAAATAATTTTTTAAGAAAAAAATATGATTTTTAAAATTGCTTGAAATTATCTTTTGTAAAAACATAGCTGAAAAGAAATTTATACAAAAGGGGGGGGAGGGAAACTAATGGCATAATTTTGTATAGCTGCAAATTTTTTTCTCTTTGTTTTCAGCTGCAAATTTTTTTCCCCTTGTTTCCAGCAAAATATTAAAGTAAAAGTTGAGACTTAGTTTATATTACATTATACAAAAAAAAATTCATAATAATGTAATGCGAAATAAACATTAAGCTTTAAAAAAAATATCTAATTACATAGTTGTTGTATATTTTTCATAAGAAAAATCTTGAAAAAAATTCCTACTGGATTAAGCAGCAATTTCATGTTTCAATTCATTCTAAAGATATTACAAAATTAAATTTTTAAAAAAGAATTGAAGTTTAAATCAAATTTGAAACTATTTTTTGCATTTGTGTTTCATAATGCAGTGTGAGGGGCCTTCTTTGAAAAAAAAGGGTTTTAGGCAAAACATTTTTACAGAAAGCTGTTAATTACATAATAACAATAACAAATTAGAATATACAAAAGCACCAGATCTAGAAAGAATAAATGCATTTTTTTAAATGATGAAAAATCAATAAAAAACATATATCATAATTTAGAAAAAAATAAATATTAGCTTATAATAAAAAATTAGAAATAAAGTATTTCAAGGAAAAAACTCACCAAAATATCACAATAAATTAACCCAAATAATCCTTCCAAAAAAAAAAAAGTAAAGGCAAAAATTTAAAAAACTAAACATATAGAAAAATGGACGTTGAATATGAAAATCAAAACTTCACAATTTAAATAAAACATTAATCTGTATATGATACTGAACCAACTACACCCAATTTAGTGTATAATACAAAACATAAATAAAAAAACTCAACATAAAATACATGCATAAAAATAACATGATCTTCAATTACATGTGCAAAAAAAATCAGATCAATCAATTAGGAGTATATACGACATTTTAATATTAAATTTAATGAAAAAACATAGAATGAATAAACTGAAAATCACATTTGTAGTTATCTGATAAAAGTTCAAAACTTTAAATGGAATAATTATAAGGAACATATAAATAATTGCATTAAAAATTATCTAGCATTCAAAAGTAATTGTAATATGAAAATTTGCTAAGAGTTAGAAAAAGTAATTACAAACAGTGTATTAACATGTGTAAACAGTGGCAAGATTGGAAGTAATGAAGATTTATTATTCCCATTCATCTAAACTCTAACCTCAAATGCTTTTTTAAATTCATGCATATAATGATATGTTTAAATATGATTGACAATCAAATGTTTCATATAAATGCAAAAATAAAAAAATATATTGCTCTAGGAAAACATAAAATCACCGGAAAATTTTAGAATTAAATTTTCATTCAAATTCATGATTGTTGATAATTATTAAAAATCTTTTTCTATTCTCATCTTACTTTTTTCTCAATATATAAATTTTCATCAAGTACTTTAGTTGACTAAATCACAATTTTCAATAAAATAAATTTTTAAAAAAAATAATAAATTGGAAAAAACTTAGACTTCAAATGAAATCAAAAAGTATTTAACAAAATTTACTTTTAACTCCAACAGTTTCAATAATCATTTGAGTCAAAACACTCTAGTCATATCAATACTTTTCTTATTACTCAGCTATTCTTTTGTATAATTCAGATCTATATCCTTTGTGTCATTTATCTATACTTTATTTACACCATATAATCAAATATTTTATGGCAAAAACCAAATTTTAGATGGCACATATCACTGTTCTACATTTCTGATTAGTAAAAATATGGACATTTTCAAATCACAAATTATTCCTGTATTTGATTTAAATGATGTTAATGAAAGAAAAAAACTTATACATTAAAGGTTAGAAACACAAATTTAGTTCAAAAATAAGAAAAATATTGCAATGAATTATTTATATTAAAATATTGCATTTAAAAAAAAAAGCAAATTACTAATGCAATTTAAAGTCACAGTAAATTTATATACTTTATAGTGAAGTGGAAATAAAACTTACAAAAAAGCTCAGATCATTTCAATAAAATGTATAACCTATACTCGATATGATTTGAACACAATATTCTATCATATTTAACAATGAAGCCTTGAATTGTTGTCCAAAAAGCGTTAGCCCAGAAGCATTGGCCAGAGACACATTTTTTCAATTCAAGATATGAAGCAATAGTCTATAGTAAATGTTCTCTTTCAAATGAAATAGTCAAAATAAAATTTGTTGAGCAAGGCAACAATGCACCCCCCACAAAGGGCACGAAAACAACAGTTTTTAACGAGAGTTTGTACTGCATTCTTTAACATCATAAATACTTTTATTTTCATCATATAAACCATTCTTCTTTTTTGGGTACTCCGTGACCTGTTTTTCCCAGTCTTACTGCTGTATCAGCATCAGGAGCATCTTTAGCCCCTGTGTCTTCATGCGTCTTGTATTCACCTTTGTGACGAGACATGTAGCGTCCAATTAAGACTGCCATCAATATCAGAGCAATGAAAATTAATGCCAATACACCTGCAAGTGATTCAAAATATTTCACTATAATCAATGTTTCGCAAATGTTTACTTACACTTTGATTGGGGAGAAAAATCAGAAAGAAAAATGAAAAATTACAAAATGTGTCAAATATAACTGACAAAACTCAAATAAAGAGCAAAAAAAAAACTTTTTAAATACTTTAGTTTTGACAACATAAAAACACTTTACAGAATAAATAATTTTCTATAGGATTAAAAAATTCGAACAATTAAAAAACTGCAGTTCTGAAAGAAAAATTAAAGATCTTAATAAAGTTTCTAGGAATTTGAAAGTCTGTAATTAAAACCTTAAATCTGCAAATAGAAAAAAATCCAAACTTTATAAATAAAAATAAGCACCTTTAAAGAGATTTTTTAAAGGATCTTAAAACCACTTTTAAGAATTAAAAACATTTTAGTCTTGTGAAACTATTCTCTTCTAAGTTTGAAAAAATGAGTGCAAACATTATAGAAATAACTTCTATATCAGATCAACAAAAATAAAGTGAAATCATAGAGAAAAACACAAGTCATTTTTAATTTAGAAAAAAAAATGTCTCAGCTTACAATGGGTTAACCATGTTTCTATAGTAATTATTTCACAGGGTGCGTAGCCAAATCTTTGAATCAAAAATAAGCACTGTTTAAAAACTTTTCAAGCACTTTACAAAAATTTTCAAGACTCAAAAAATTCATATTCAATCAATGATATTATTGAAAAACAAAAACTTTTTATAAACAGTTTTAGCGTTAAAAAAAAAAAAGAAGAAGAAGAAATGGGCGTAAATCGAAACAATCACTTCTTTCTCACATCACCGAGTGATTTCAACCTGACCCTGAACTCAGAAGAAAAGTACCCTTACCCCCTACGTCAAAAAAAGTGTTAGAAGTAACATAAAATAAACAAGATATATATGCTAGTTTTCAATTTACTTTCACTATAGTGATACTTNTTTAAAAACGAAATCCCCAAAAAAGCACCTTTAAATACTTTTTACAAACGCTACGCACCCTGTTTCATTTTAAAGTTAATTTTTTCAACAAAAAAAAAGTGCTTAAACTAATTGTATCATTAATAGATGATGCTAACTTGCATGTTTAAAGAATCTTTCATATTTGATTGTTACTTGTCACAGTGTCAACTGCTGTCATTATTGCACAATTATTTATCTCAACAGGATATCAAATACTTGCAGAAAAAATATTCTTTTTAAAAGGCCAATTAAGTTAGTTGAAGTTTAATTCATTGTCATATTTTTTTAAAATCTAATTTCATTGATTTACAAATAAAAAAAGTAAGAAAAGAGAAAACCAGTAAGCAAATGTTAGGTAAAAGAACAAAAAATAAATAATAAAACTAAATTATTAAAGATATTACCTCCAAGTATAGCAGAATCATCTTCACCAGATCTATGAGCTTCGATGCGAACTCCCGGAGGCAAAGTGGGTGGTGGTCGAGTGGCTCTATATTCAGGTGGATGAGTAACAGGTTCAATGCCACAGTCATCCTCTCTAATATCAACAGGAACTGACCAAACATTTGCTCTGCGACTCTCTTGGAAAAGTCTCCTTAAAGGAAAATGATCATCAAACTGAACTCTTGAGATACAACCCACAAATCCTTCACCAGTACCCATGGACTCTGAAAAATAAAAATAAAAAGGTAAATAAAACAGCTCCGTTTATTAAAAAATTCTTTAAAGCAAAATACTTATTTTACTATCTAAAATGAAATTCAAACTACTCAAACTCAGTGGTGTGACTGCCCATACAGGGCCAGGGCTAATCTCAGTTTTCTTGACCTTGGGCTTTGGGGTACAAGAGCAGATGTTAAGGTTGGGTGGTCAGATGAACGCAGAAACCCCAGTGTTTAGTCCTCAAGCATGCTCGGTACTCATTTTATCGACCCACTGAAAGGCCGAGTCAACCTTGCCTGGCTTTCAATCAGCTTTTAAAAATAACTCAGATAATTTCAAATCAGGGTGCGTAGCTAAATTATTCAACAAAAAATAAGCACCTTTTAAGCACTTTTCAAGCAAAAAGATATTTTCAAGCACTTTAAAAAAATATCATAATTGGGCAGGGTTGGAAAGTTTTTGACAATTGACGGTTTAATCTTGTTTCAATCATCATGTCAAAAAAAAATAACTTTTGCCATTGTTTTTGACAGTTGTTAAAAATCATGAAGTTTTGAACCATATAAAACGAATAGCGTTTTCATATGCTACAGACTGACAATACGCTGAAATAGATTGGGGTTGAATGAATTATGAAAACGTTGAATAGAAAAATGTGAACTGCGTCTTTTTGCAAAAATCACAGCTAAAATCAACATGGTAAAGGTAAAATCTCATTTTGAAAAAGGGAAAATTAAGCACTTTTTAAAAACACCCAATGAAAAAGCACCTTTAAGTGCTTTTAAAAATCGAAAATAAGCACCTTTTAAAAATGCCACGCACCCTGTAAATAGAAAAATAAGCTAAATAATTATATTAAAAAAGTATTAACTATTTAAACAATAACAATAATCTAACCGTATGGTAAAAAATACAACATCTAAACACTAAAAAAAGCTATTATTTTGGTTTTTGCAATTATTCAAATTTTTGGAATGAACTTAAAATAAAACAATTTAACATAACATGACAAGGAAAAGCTGTAATTTAATAATAAATTAGAATAAAGATTAAAAAAAAATTAATTACCATTCCGCCCTACATAAATACTTTTTAGACTATTGAACTGAGCATCAGCCTTTTCATCAATTTTAAAAGTGTGAACAATCGGTTCATAATTATCCACCTAAAAGAAAAATTAGGAATGGATTACAATCAATACACATATAAGTACATTTTTAATGCACAACTTTTAAAAAAAGTACACATTTTAACGAAAAATGTACACTTTCAATAGATGTATACTTACATAGATTGTTATTTTAGCTCCTTTATCTCCTCTTAGAAGTCTTATGTCATGATGCTGTCCTAAAGCAAAGTTCTCATTTTTTATAATGATTTCCTGCCTTTCAAATCCAAAATCGAATACTAATCGCAAATGGCCTAAAAGAACATTTAAAATCATTAAACTGAAAATTTTTTTAAACTTAAATATGTCTCATAACTATGAATGAGATTACTAAACTAATTCGATATTTAAAAAAAAAAGAAAAAAAAAATAAGACTTTGTTTATAAACATAGGTAGGCATAACTTTTATTTTACTTTAAAATTTATATTGAATTCTTTTGAACAGCTTATATATTTTAGACATACATAAAAAGTTTATATAATTTGATTGTTATAACTTTAATATTATAACTTAATATTATTAACCTAATATTATTTGATATTTAAGGAACAATTTTTATTCTTTTTTTCTGTGTTGCAAGAGACTTTTTAACAGATTTTTTGATATTTTAACATTGCTGATTTCAAAACTACAACCACTTCCTTTCTCCAAGATAGAGGTTTCCCCAAGATTTAATGAGATTTTTAGTCTATATTTTGTTGACATGTACAACTTAAAAAACATCATATAACAGGGGGTTGCATAAATATTGAGATAAATTGCTAGGGGAGTTAGGGCACCTCATCAAGATTAAAACAGTATAGGAACCCATGCGCAGAAATGTTGGCATACACCACCAGGAGCGCTTCCCTATTATGAACTGTTTCTTCGTGTTTTTCTGAACAGGTCAAAATTGAGAAGCACTTCCAGCCATGTATGACAAAATTACTGGGCATGGGTTCCTATGTGCAGTTTTAATCCCAACTATCCTAGAAATTTATCACAACATTTACGCGATCTTGGGTACAATATAAGACTTTTAAACCTTTACATTTCAACAATAAATTAGACTAAAAATGTCATTTTTAAAAAAATGTGTTGCTTTAAGAGCAAAACTAATGTCAGATTTGATATCCGCAAATCCGAACTAGGCAAGATCAAGCATTTGCATAAATACAACAAAAAACTTGTTCCCCAGTGTAATTCATAAAAAAGTTCAACATAAAAAAAATTTCTTTAATACAGTTCAATGACCAATCAAAGCCATGATGCCAATTATAAAGTAAAATAATGCATATTTAATTCCATTGTTTTCTGTTTAGTCATTCCTTCTTTTTGTTCAATAATGATTCAATAACGTTTACGATATTCCAGGGCTCAAAAAAAACCCCGTCCTCGGAGGTCAAAAATTCCCCGCAGACAACAAATTTTTCGAATCCCACGTCCGCGCGGACGGCCCTTTTCCCGTTAATGCTCGTGATACATTTTCAGTTTTTGCTATCTTACAAGAGTCTAGCTCCTCTCTTCTAAAATGACCCTCTAATCCAGAAAAACAGCAACATACTGCGTATGGTGGAATTGATGTTTTCTCTGTCTGGGAGTACTGCAGTGGTTGAAAGGGACTTTTCAGCAACGATCTTGCAAACAGACACATTTCGACAAAGACACATTACACTTGAACAAGAAGCGTTAAACGCAATTATGAACATATATACCTAAATGGAAAATTCCTTTCTGATTTCTGTGCAGAAACCTCTGTAAATCATTTGCTTGATTGTGGAACTGGCAAACGTCATATTTGATTAATTTAAAAAACACAGTACCCTCGGATAATATGACATTCCAGATAACTTGATCTTTGTCATTTAAATTATTTCATAAAAGAAATAATAGGTTACTATTAGTAACCTAGTATTTCTTTTACATAATCGTAGTATTTGTAATTCTAGTAACTACTAATTCATTGTGCAATTTATATAAATGTTTGTTATAAATAAGAGAAATTATATTTTATTTATTTAGAAGCTACGGGTTAGTTTCAAAGGAGGACGGGTACATTATTGGACAAGCCGTCCTCAGGGACGGGTAAAATTTCTGAGTTTTTCGAGCCCTGCGATATTCTATAAAACTATATTATTAGTCACACAAAATCGATCCAAAGATTAAATTATCATAAAACGTAGGGTGCCTGTGCATTAGGTCCCAGACACTGCTAGCCTAAGCAATATTCAGACCCTGGAATTCAAATTATGTATCTGCTTTTCTAGTATTCATTTTATAAGAAAGCAAAGAAATATATAATTTAATTTTCTACTTGGATTGTATAAAAAATATATATATTTACCACTTGTTGACATCATCAAATTAAGATATTCTCCACTAAACGAGGAAACACCAACAATCATTCCTGTTTTATCAGTTGTGGTGAAACCAACACGTATATATTCTTCCAAGGTGGAAATCCTATTGTCAAAATTGTATCGGATATAGTAATCTGAGCGTAAATTGACACCAATTTCTGAAATATAAAGAGTAAAGGTATAATATAATGAGAAAAAAGCTTCCAGGGAGTTATAAATTAGTTAATGAGAAAAAGATTACGAATTTAAATCAACAAAAATGTTCACAGCTATAATAAGTAAAGTGCAACAAATATATCATAGAACTTAAAATTATACAGATCATGTATCAGGTCAACATATCTCCTGTCCTGTATTAAGATTTTAAAAAATAAACTAGCGTACTAAGTTGCTATCAAAATTATCGATTCTCAATTAATAAAATTTATTGAACTTAATAAAACAAGATAAAAGTTAATATGTAGAAGGAAAAAAAAGAAAAGTAGAACAGATAAAATAATATATATTTCTTTATTTATTAAATATTTTAGTAAAAATTCAAACACAAATGTTTTAGGTTTAAAGAAAACTCCATACTAACTCAGTTAATAAAATAATTAGATTGCATTGTGATCTTTAGGTATCAAAGTCAGCTTCTGTTATATGTAAACACACAAAATAAAAGATGGTTGGAAACCTACATGCTGCTAAAAAGCTACTTAGACACACTTAAATTTGATTATTCACACATATAAGGTATTGGGGAAAAATATTAAGACATTACAGTGAAAATATGCAAATTTTATGACTAAATTTAAAACTAAATAGTTTTTTTTTAAAAAAAGTTCAATTTACAAATTATGAAAAGAAATCAAAATATTAATGCAAAAATAAAAAAATTAAATAAGATTAAAAAGGTTAAAACATTCAAATGGAAAAATGCGCTTAGCAGCAAAGAAACCAAGAGGAATTAAACAAATGAGACATTGAAGAAAAATTAGTAAAAAATTGGAAAAATTCAATTTACAAAGCCATACAATTTTTATGGTTTCATAAAGATTATTAAGCTTGTTGCGTAAAACAAAAATTTCCGGCTATTTCTTAAAATTTGTTTTACAAGATCTAAGAGTAATGTCTGCGATATTTGTCTATCCAAACAATAAATAATAATTTTTGGCAAAAATAATAATAATCACATGATGGAATCAAGAAAAACATGATGGAACAAACGAAGAACAGACAGAACAAAGTATTTGTTAGCGGTTGTTTGTGTTCAAAGAAAGTTTGAACATTTTAGCTTGGTGTTTCATGTAAAAAGCAAACCAATCATTATACAGCACAAAATAAATCACTGTACCACTTCTTTGAGAAAAACACAAATCAAAGTGTTACATTTCTGTATGTGCTTTAATTTCAAACTCAAAATGTGAAAAGAATATCACATCTTCTAGAAAGCAACTTAATTTCGATTTAAAGTAAAATTTCATTCAGTAATAACAGATAAATAATTTCATTATATTTTCTCAAATAAAACTAACACAAGTTTTATAATTTATTAATAAAATCTTTTGTTTCAAATCTTTAAATCCATGAGTATGAATGACTCATTCTTTATATTTAAAATATTATTTGATTGAACTAGTGTCTCTCTATTATTTTATCATGAAAAAGTTTCTGTAATTATTTCAGTTTTGCAATTGATTATAATAACAAATTATAATTTTTAAACAAAACATTCTTTATTTTAATTTAAAAAAAAAACAGTTACTTTTAAATCTTTACCAAAACATCCATTTAGACAAATGATCACAAATATTTAGAAACACTTCTTATTTCCAATAATAGAATTCTGAGAAATAAATAAAATATAAAATTAAATTAAACCATTCTTATCCAAAATAATATTTATGCTCATGATTAAAATGAAATAAATATTTACCATCAGCACAGATAGGTCCTTTGAATCCAGTCCACTGGCAATCACAAATATAGCTTGAATAGCCTTCAATGCATGTTCCGTTGTTCAGACAAGGGCTACTTTGGCATTTACCAAAACATCCATTACCAATGCCATAACTATAATCGGATGCCATGCGCTGCAGATCAACAATAATGCCATTCAACATTAAGGCTCGTAAGCAACCAACGAAACCCTCCCTGTAGTCTACAGTGGCACCTTTATAAAAGATTTGCATCATTACAAACATTTATTTAAGAGTTACTAAAAACATAATTAAAAGTTACTAGAAACATTCAACTAATTTAACAGTATGATACTCATTAAGTAGGAATTTAAAAATAATGTTAAATTCAGGGTTGGCACAGAAAAAAATGAACAAAATAGTTGCTTTTAGTAGCGTAAAACATGAAAATAGTAGCCAAAAACTAGGAGAATAGTTGCCTAAATAAGAACAAAAATTCATCAAAAATAAGACAAAAATTTTGTTAATGACATTGTCATATACCATGATCCATTCAGTCAAGTTGGTGGCAAGTATGATAATTTTTATATAAACATAAATGTTTATATATATATATGAAATGTGATTACTCAAATTCGAAATTTACGCATCACAATACTGTATTAAAAACTTTTCTTTTGTAATCATGCGGAATTTCGTAGCAATAATCATTGAAAATGCGACCGCGAAATGAAATAGACTTACAATGGAGTCTGTGCCGATTGACTGAATTAAAAAGTGAAGACTCAAATTTGCAAATCAAAATTTTCAACTTTTTTTATTTTTTAAGAAGAAAAAAAAGTTCAGTGTGTTCAGAAACTAGCTTGTGGGGTACAGATTTTATTTTCCACCCAATTTATGCTTAAAAAAATTGCTAGGAGAACAGAAAAGTCTCCTAATAGTCTCCTTTTCCTGAAAATAATTGCTTTTTTAGCCTTTTCAGTCAGAAAAAGTTGCCTTAGTCGCCTCATGCCAAAAATAATTGCAAATAGTTGCATTTTAGTCGCCTGTGGCAAGCCAAAATCATTAGAATGGAATAAACAGATACATTATTATTCTAATTACTATTATTATTTTTTTTTTCTTTCAAAAACACATTTTAAAACCAAATTCAATTTTTTTTATTTTCTTTCATTAATTATTTTATACAGTAAGAATTCGTAGCACAACTAAGATCTACATGTTTAATCAATCGATAAGACTGGCAATTGATTAAGAGATTGATGACCATCAAGAGTGAGATGACCAATGAATTGGTGATTAATGATAAACTGCATTGTTAATGTTGCCTATCCCTGTGTTAAGTGTATCTGATAAGCCAATTCATATCTAGCTCTGCTATTCTGAATCAATCTTCTTTAACAAAAAATATCATTAAGAGCTATAGTACATCCAATAATATTACGATTTCAGAACATGAAACTGCTTTTAATCACATTTTTACAAATAAATATTTAACAAAAAAAATAATGAAAACAAAAGATTAATTTTCATACGCAACTAACACTTTTTTTAAAATTATACTTTTCATAAAATAATATGCAATATTATCCCAATTAAATAATAAAATAATTTGTAATTTCTATCTTATGAGAGACAGCACTTAAACTAAATTATATAATAGACAGTTATGATACAAACACTTTTTTCGAAAAAAGCACAACTATAAATTCACATAAGTTAGGCAAATAATTCAAAAATTTAAAAGCAATTAAAATTAATAATACTTCCAATGGAAAAATGCGCTAAGTAGCAGTGAATCTGAATGGAATTGAAACAAAAGAGACAATGAAAATGTGAAGAAAAAAAATGGACAAAATATGACAACCAAAGCTGACGTCTTCAGGGGGTACCAGCTCCGGAAGTCATAAAAGCAAAACCTTTTCCATCGAGAGAGCACAACAAAAGTCTAAAATTGCTCTCTCTGTACCCCAAAGGTTTTACCAAAGTCCATGAAAAGAATATAATACAATATAAAATACATAAAGCAAATACAGAAGAATAAAAACAAGACAAATACATAAGAATATTATGAACAAAAGCTTGCTTAAAATAAAAATCCAATAACTAGATAACACAACTAAAATAAAATAAACAAAAACAACACCCCCTAACCAGCACAGTAAGTATAAGGAGAAAAAGGGCAGAAGTTAAGAAAGTAGTGACATCATTAATAGAAAAGCTTCACTGGGGAAACATGACTTGGATTTTGCTTAATAAAATGAAAAAGGTAATAATTCTCAACCATTTTCTTAATTGCAAAATCAATATTACAAAAATTAAAAGGAAAACCATTATTTTTTTCATATTTTCTTTGTCTCTTTTGCTTCACGTAAGTTAGTTAACAAAATCCGAAGAGTTAGTACGTACCAATAACAAGCTTGCTAGTGAGATACAAAGCACGAACTGGTCCTGATCTTTCTTTTACTTCAGCACTCAAACTGCCATCTATAACAACACGCGCCTCTTTTCTATTACGCTCAACCAAGACCGAATGCCAATTATTGTCATTCAATTTGTATGAAGTTTCAGCACTCACACCAAGTGGGCCATTTCCACCTTGATACTGAAACTGAATTTGGTCTCCCTCTGTAATAAATAAAATAATCATGAAATGCAATAACTTATAAGAATTATGATATGAATAAATAATAACTTATCATGAGATGTTATATGATATGAATAACATTATGAGAAATAATAACTTAATAATTAAACTAATTGCAAAACAATAAAAAGGCAATTTTAAAATTACAATTGATTTAGCAAAGTACAAGAACATATTAATTTGATTTAGATTAAGCATNCCAGACAATAAAGCCATTTTGAATTGAAAATCAAAAACATTTATCAGAACAATATAATTGGAAAAATATTTGCATTTTAAAGAAATAAAAATTCTCTCGCTATATTCAAGTTAAGCTTAATCTTGAAATTGCAACAATTACACTAGGCCCAATTTAAATATTTATGTTTACATTTCTTGCTTGACTGCTTAATTCTAAAAATAAATAAATAAATAAAAATCAAGGCACATTCATCAAAATAACCACACAAAAAAGATAATATTTGATAAATACAATACACACCTATTAGCATTATTTTTATATAATCCGTTGGTCCTCTACTACTAACTAACACACCATTCTGAGCAGTTGTTTTGAATTGAAAATATATATCTCCGGAGTGCCCCATATCAAAAGTGGGAAGATCTATTGTGGCATCTTCATAATAAAATGTGACAGTGTTGTCAAATAGATCTAAAATATAAAATATGTGAGTTTTTGGTATGTTATAATGCAAAAAAAGAAAAGAGCTTTCATGAGTAGAAGAATATAAAAGTAAGTATTCAATTAGTATAAGAGTAAGCTAATGAATAATTTACAAAGATTCTTAAATGATCAAATCAAAATATATTAGAGAAAAAATCAAGGTCAATTCAATTTTATTTTAAAGGAAAGGCTACCACTTCATTAGATTTAGTCACAAGTTAGGCTAGCTAAAAACTAGTTTGTAAAGCTTTTTAAAGAAGCTCCATTTATTCGACAGTTCAAATAGTACAGTCTTAGTTTTTTCAATAATTGGTAAATTATAATGGTAAAATATTCCCTAAATAATACTGCAATAATCAATGAAAATTATGATTTTTATTTAATTTTTCCTACTTTTCAGTAACAAAAATCACACAAACAGGTGTTTTGTTCACTATTTTGAAAAAATTAATTCAATAAGTTATTAATTATCCACAAGTTATATGACTTCTAGCTTATTTGTTAATATTGTCAAAACTAAACTACATCACACCTTATCAAATCATTCAGAAAATAGTAACAAATTTACCGATTACCAGATATTTTAAAGATATAATAAATTTTAAAAAAAGTTTTTTTAAAGTATTCCTCTCCTACATGAAAATAAAGCAACAAAATAATTTACTAGTAAGTGTGATTTCAAAATACAGCATAAGTAATTAAAAAACGACCTAACTTGACTTAAGTTTGTTAACTGAAACAAAAATTAGTTCTGTGGAGAAATCGGGAGTTTTTTTCAGGGATAAGTTTGGTAAATAACTAAAAAAGCAGAAAATGAATATCTAAAAAAAGTTTATACAAATCACATTTTAAATAATTGAAATAATACCCGAAATTTAAGAAAGAAAAAAGTGTGCATGAAGTCAATATCCATGTAATATAATCCACGTTTTAAAAATAAAATATTGATGCAAGATTTTTTATAATTGTGTGAATAAGAATCTCAATTCTGGAATTGCTTGAATATGAATCCAGATGTAAGATTAAAGCATGTGATTATGAATAGTGATTCTTAATTTTACATCACGTGAATATGAATTGCAATGTGCAGTTTGAAATAGAGATTTGTGATTTAAATCGAGTGAATACCAATCATAAGTGTGATCTAAATTATATAAATATGAATCATGATGTGTGGTTTTAAAACATGAGAATACAAACTGTAGCGTATGCTTCTAAATCCAAATTACATAGGTAAGAGAAAAAGTTAAAAAAACAAATATTTCATTGAGGAATTCCAAAAAGTGGGATTTTCTATGAAAATGCAGAATTTATCTTTTTATTGATTTGAAGAAACAAAAGGAATTTCGCCAAAAAGGAGAAAAAACTCATCCCTGTATTTTGAACAAAGATGCACAACTTGGACTAAAAGTATAACAACAAAAAACTAGGCTTTAAAGTACAATTTAAAGAAAAACTAAAGTACAATGTTTAATAGCAGAGCAGAAAACAGGTATTAAGCCAAACTAGCACAATACCAGCCTTGGACCAAATTAGCACCACTAGGTAATGCTAAGGAGCAATTTTTAGCAATGCACACATCACTCCTGTCTTTTTAAAAGAAATATAAAATTTTAAATATGAGAAAAAAATAATTTATAAACTATTTTTTTAAAAATATAACAGCAGTTTTAATGTCATTATTAAATTTCCAAGTATGATTAGTCAGTTTTATTAAACAAATATGCATATTAATTAAAAGAAAAAATAACTTACTGTCGCCTTCACATTTTAGAGGCCCCAAAGAATATCGCCCTTTCTTGTCATCCATAGTAGTTCCTGTGTCACCAAATCGTAATTGCCTAACAGGCAAAAATTCTTTTTGAGTCAAATCACCTTCATCAACCAACCATTTATCTCTTTCAAGATTGTCAGAATCACAGTTACACCACTTAGTTGGATCCTTGCACGTACCATATAAGCCGCAGTTACATTTTCTTGATCCTGGTAAAGAGCCACCCCAATAATCCATTTGACGGTTATTGCGACTAACCCACCAAGAAAAAGGTTCAAAAGGAGCTGGTTCAGCTAAAAACAAAACACAGAAAATGAGAAAAAAAACTTAAAAAAGAAGTGAATTAATTCACAGCTTACAAAAAAAGATATCTTGCAGGAAGATATTAGTGCTAGAGAGTTTTGTCAAAGAAAGCCTGAAAAAATTCTGCCACAGGGATAAAATTTAAAGCTTTTTATGCAAGTAACCAGAAATCTTCTAACGATTCTCAGACAGAATTAAACAGGGTTTTCACTTAATAAAAATAATAAAATTCCCTGATTTTTCTAGGTATTTTAGGTGAATTTCAAAATTATACCAGACAATACTTTATCTATACAATGCAAATTTCATCAGAAAAAACATGATTTTTTTTTTTTACTATTGAACATAATATTTTGAAAGTAAAAAAAGACTTTAGAAGAGGATATCATAAAATTACTGAAATGTGGAATTTTTTCAATGAATAATTGAAATGTTAGAATTTTTTAACTAGAATTTCAATAGCTAATTAACTGTTACTGACAATTCTAATAATGGTTATTTTACAGGTATGCTGTAGGAATAATCCAAGTTTTTGTGAAAAAATGCAACTTTCCTTTGCAATTCCAGATTTTCCCTGACAGAGACAGCCTACGCCCGTAAAATTTTACATTCAGACCCACCCAAGCAAGGATTATTTAGAGCCTGAGATCAAGATATACATCCGATAAAAGTCGAATTTTGCAGTATTATCACTTGGGCCTTTGATGTTTAAAAAAGGAAATTAGTCTTTAAAACTTTTTATTACAATTAATGAATACATTTTACATTTCTTAAACTTAATAACTGTATCGAACATTTGATAGAAAGTAGTAAAAAGATTCATGAAAATTTTATGAGTCTAAACTCGAAACCTTTTTACAGTAAACGAGCCCTGCATCCCATTTCTTGTAAACAAAGGCTGTTCTGAAGCTTTACAAAGTAGAACACAGTTTAAGTTTTAGAAATTGCTCCTTACAGTATTCTATAGAAAAAAGGGAGGAAAAATTTAACGAGAAAAGAAGAAAATCGGATGACAAACAAATATCTTGATAAATTTTTATCAATCCAAACACTTTAAAATAATATAGTCTTTCATAACTATAAATTTAAAATAATTTTTAATTAAAGCTGAATAATTTGTAAAAAATCAAACACAGTAATTTATATTTCAGTAGGTCATTCAAAACAAGATCAGAATAACATAATTGAGCTAATCTGATTATGCTTATAAATGCTTTAAAAATACTAGATTCATAAACTCAATGATTAAAAGTATTAAATGTTATTAATGCTTGACTTGTGGAACTGATTTAAAATTAGCATATATATAGGCTGAATAGACCATATGATATTTTAAATACTTAGAAATATAACATTCAGCAATGTTTCATAATTTATATTATAATGCTTATTACCTCATTACAAAAGCTTATTTATACATGTCATATTCACAGTATTGAATAAATTCTCCAAACATTTTAAAAATGTACATTAAAGTGAAAAACTAAAATATAAATTTGAGTGCAACAATTTCAAAATTAAACTAGCATAACAAATTAAACATTTTAAAAAGAAAAGGAAATTACCTGGCGAGCTAAAAAGACGAGTTTTGTAGCATTCATAACGTAACTTTTGGTGACAGTTGTAAGATCGATTAACAAGTTGAACAATCTGTTCCATTTCAGCATTATAAATTATATTCTGAATATAGCTGCCAGGTTTATTAAATCCCTTTACATCGGTTGGTCTTTCATTCTTATGATGCAATATTGTGACAGCTGGACCTTCAACTATAAAATTAAAGTTTTGTTATGCTTTGCAAAAAATTTAGCTTTTATAAGAAACTGGGCATTCAAAGAAATAAAAACAAATAATCAATTCTTAAAGAAATTGTTAAAATATAAAATGTTAATTATTTGACAGTTTCGTGTAATTGGACATGAAGCTGTTAAATTCTTTGATTGTTTATAATTTAAAAGAACAGTTAAAACATATACAATCTTATTTTAATAGAACAGTTAAAATAACAATGTAGTATTACTCGAAACATTAATAGAGTAATGAAGTCTATGAACCTTAGAGTAAATCAACTATACTCATAAACTACATCACTAAAAAAGCAACCACTGAAAATAGTCAACACTATCTGTGTTAACAGTTTTTTATAAAATAAATAATAGCCTAAAATAAAAATTAGTGTCAAGCGATTATTTAGCATTCTAATTTATAAGTGAACAGTTGTTAACACAGATTGCAAAAAGAGTATTTTCCTCCATCAACAGTCTATCAAAAGTATGAACATGAAATTTTCTAAAGAATGACAGAAACAATGGAAAAAAACATATCAAAATAATATTAAAAGAGGACAAATGATTACAATGAACTCTTAAAGTTAATAAAATAGCAGAATGCATAGTTTAAAAAAAAAAAACTATATATATATATGACAGATGTGACTGCCACAAAATAATATTGAAAAAAATAATAAACTACATATTGTGTCTATCCCCNTCCCCCCCCCCCGCCCCTATTAGTCAACAAATGTTATCGCTGAACTACTTACAGTAGACGATCTATATAACACCTAATCTGTAAACTTCAATCTTCCATATACCACATTAACTTCACTATCTCTAAAACAAACTAATTTTGATCTGTTTTTGCATCTGATTTTGATATATTCTAATGCCCTCACATTTTCATTTTTTCCCAGTAAATAATAAATACCTTAATGCATATTTTTGTGTTCTAAAATATTTTTATTTAAAAACTATTTCAAAACATTAATATAGATCTGCTCCTGATATATGTTGCCATACTTAATAGTTAAATTTAATGATATGTGAAATGAACTATACTATGCAATGCATAGTGCTTCAAGTTTTGCATTTTTAAAAACTTCTATAGTATTCACTTAAAAGTCATTTAGCCACGAATGCAGTATGTGCAAACTGTTTCAGGGAGATTTGTGATATACTTCAGATGAGCCTGGGCATTGATCTAAAAATTTTATCCGAAAACTTATCTAAGGTGTTCCAAAAACCCATTCTGACAAGGTTTTAAATACTAGCTCAATAATCATATTTTAGCATTAGTAAATAAATGAATAATTTAATAGGTGAGGTTTAAATACTTACAAGGGAATTCACATGTTACAGGGAACGAACCCAAGGGTCCACTACCATCAATATCAATGTTTATACTCAGGTCCCTGGTCTTTGGATGTGTAAGTTTATAAGCTTCGCATGAAAGTGAATGAATAGCTAAAAGAGATAAACATTGTATAATTGAATTGAATGCATCGTTTAGTATCACGAAGTTGTACAAAAGTAAGTATAAGTAAATAAAATATCAGCATACAGTGAAACCTCCTGTTATGGACACCCCTGCAAAACAGACACCTCTCAATACAGATATATTTTTAAAACCCAAGTGATCTCCTATGAATAAACAATTATGTACATTCTCCGCAAGGCGGACACTCCCGTAACCGGACACGGACAGTCATTTTGGACCTGAAACGTTATATTTTTTATTTCTTCAAACCGGACTCTATTTTTTCAAAATTTGAAAAAAAAAATTATTTCTGCTTTAAATTGCAAGGGGAAAAAATGCAACTTTTCGCTATTTTCAAAACACGTAAATTTTTTGCCTTGTCCATGACTAAAAATATTGTTAAGCTATTTCACTACTGAAGAATCAATCTTTCATCTGTCACCTTGCCTTATCGTTGTAAAGAAAGGAGAGAAAATGATACTGCTTTCCAAAAAAGATTCAAACAGCAGCATCCCTTGATCTTTTCATCTGGACCACACAGGTTATGAGACCCCTCAAGTTGAAATGACTTAAATGCTCTCAATGCTTCTTCCCCATTGAAAATTTCTTTATTTTTCTTATCAATTTGAAGACTGTATTTAACACAGCTGGAGTAAATAAGAGAACAGAAATATAATCTTTGATGTGTTCATGTAAATGAAACACTTATTCAGACACTTGATAGCTGATCAATAGTGAATAATCAACTCCATAGGTCCTCATGACGTAACTGTGGAATCATGAGAGGTTTGCTTACTTTCAAGAAGGTATTAACCATGTTCCCTCTCAAATGATAGGTAGCTGTAAGGGGATGTAAACCTAATAATTGAAACCGATTGAGGACTAAAAGCTCCTATTCAGTATCATATGCCTGACTTAACTATCGATGCTAATAAGTAAATTATATTCATTTATCTGTAGCTACATCTAGAATTATGTATTTATATCAAACTTCTTTAGATAATCTTTTTTATCTTTCTAAAGTTTAAATAAACAACCTGGTAGATAGTTATAGTAAACTATTTAATTATTTCTACATCTTTGTAAATATTCTAAAAACAATTAACAGTGTTAAACTTCATTATTAGGGAACCCTTCTCGTAAACGGACAACTCTCATAAACTGGCAATTTTTCGGTCCCATGAATGTCCGGTTTTACTATAAAAGTATATGCAAATAAAATATCGATGCATAATACTCACGAATGTGACAGACAGCTCCAGAATATCCTGTATTTTCACAAGCACACTTGAACTCTTCAGAATTTTGATGGCAGATGCCGCCATGCTCACATGGATTCGGATTACAACTGCATAAAAAAAAATAGATAAAGAAAGATAGATAATGCAGAGAATGTTGAGCATGAATAAGTAAAGTTGACATTATAGAGATACACTAAAAAGACCAAAATGAAGGATACACTCTCATTAAATTTAAGTTTCAATCAAAATTTCTTTTTCTACATTTTATGTCACCCAAAGTAATGATTCACTTTCTCAAATTATAAGAATTTTAATTCAAATTCCTTTAATGTCAATCACGAACTCGGTTTAGAGTGAATTTAGCTTACCCACACAGCAAATAAGTTTTTCTCAGTTATTCCATGAGGAAACATTGTACAACAGAAAAATTCAGTACAGTTGAAGGGTTTGGAACAATGTGATGATAGGCCAGTTTTAAATTGGTCCGGAGTGCATTTTTCAGCAAAAAGAACGTTTTCCATGTTCTGCCCTGCATTATTTCCTTCAGTTATCAAACTACCATGCTGATAGTTACGGTGGGTTTGAATATAAGTTACTTTGGATAGTGCTGTGGAACTAGTAGATTCACTTAGTAAGGGTTGGGCAAGTTATGCTACTTCTTTAATTTTTCCCCATTAGAAATTATTTTACTTGTTTCCACAGCAGCACACAACCAAAGACTATCAATTGGGAGGAATTCTCATGTTAGATGGAAAGTAGGCAATAAGACGTTTGTGTGTATTGTGCAATTATCGAGTCAAAATTCTTAAAGCTTCTACAGTATCTATATGAAAGCAATGCTCAGGAACAATTTTATACAAAAATACCACTTTTGAAAGGAAAAAGAAAACGTGGCTTGTCATTATTTACCACAAGCAAAACCTGACAAATAATGACAGTTAAAGGATCTTGAGGTTAAAATCCAGTGCTTAACAAATTTTTTTATCGCTGTTCAAATAATATTAATATTTTTCTTTCTTATTGTGATAATAAACAGACACTAGCACACTGAAACAGAATTTTCTTAAAGAATATTTAAGAATTTTTCATTGTATATATTATACAAACAATAATAATAATATAATTATAAACTTTTGCATAATTCTATCAAATATTCTATTACTTTGTACAAATAATTTTATTTTTTAAACACTAAATACATTAACGAACTGAACATACCTAAGTAAAAATAACACAATTAAAAAAAAAAACTGTGCTCTCATATTTAGCTTCCATTTAATTTTTAAATGCTATGTCCGTAAAATGCAAATGCTTTAAAGCCAATTTCTCTTACTAACTGTACAAAGGTATAAGGAAATTTATTTCTTCAGAAATTTTGATGAAAAGACACTCCAATCCTGTATATACATTTGAGGAGAAAATGAACAAACAAAAAAAAATTAGAAAAAAAAAAGAAAAAAATTTTTTGTTTTTGTTTTCCTTTTTAATTTTTTTTTTATAAAAAAAAGGCTTAGGTTTTAAAAAGATTTATAATCTAATAAGTCAAAATAAAGTGTAAAAAAATTTATGACCAAAATACATGAAATAAATACACATGGGGCTGCAATAATTCTAAGTTGATCTAAAAGTTAAAAACCTAAAAATAATCTGAAAACTAATATGTCTAAAGATATAAAATAAAAAATAATAATAAAGCCTAAAAAGTCTTTTGATCAAAATTTTTGTGATGTCAGCCGACGTCACTCTACGTCATTATTAACAATTGAATGACGACACTCTTTAGTTAAGAAACAGCGGCGCTGCCTCACCGATTCAGAGATTATATAAAGACTTTATTAATTGATGTTTGTAGCTAATCTTCTGTTACCTAATTGCTAGCATGTTATTTTGTTACACATATGTGTTTTTGTTGGTTTATTAAATATACTTTTAAGTCATAATGCTTCTTTATTGGGATACCTTGTCAACGATGCACACAGTTTAACAAAAATAAATTAAATTAAAACACTTGGGGCTGCAATAATTCTCACTTAAACTAAAAGTTAAAAATTTAACGAATATGAAATTATTCATTACCATTATAAAATTAATTATAAATATATATGTATACATAAATCAAACATTATTTAAATAAATAGAAAAAATCTAATGAAGTTTCGAATAGAAAGAAGAATATAAAGAAGTATTACCGATCAGTCATTTGACAAGCATCAAAAACAACTCCTTCAGCTGAATAACGGTGACTAGGTAAAGACGTAACTCGTATATAATGACCTTCAATATGGATGTATCTCATACAACCGATAAAGCCACGATTCCCATAAACACCACCTGAAACAAATTTTCACATTTATAAATAATGAATTTTTATCTCAATAAAAACCTCATACATGATAATCTTTAAAACATATAAGGTTTTTAATATTAAAATTGGAAATTACTAAAAAAAAGCTCTATTAGAATTATAATAACAAATTTTAAAGCTTAAGCTAGTACTTTTATTTAAATAAACAAATATTTTATTTTTAAGAGGGAAATTTAAATGCTAAATTTAATTTAATTATAAAATCAGATTTTATAACATAATTTAAAACAGTTTCATTTTCCTACAAACTCTTTAAATTAAAAATTAATAATAAATAAAGTGTTTTCAGTCACTCAATTAACATTAAAATCATGTATAAAATGTTAAAGCTGTATAAATGTATGACACTCGATAAAACAACTCTTGCGATGCAGGCAAAAACAAACGTTATAAAGTGAGATCATTACATTGTGAGAACACAAAAATTCAGTAAACATTAACTTGCAGACACAGAAAAATACTTTATTAATTTTAACAAAGCAATGCTATACTTCAATAAGAATTTGGCAACTAAAAAAATTTGGTACTACACAACTTTTTTTCTAAGTTTAATTTTTAAGTTAAACGCAAAAGTACCCTTAAAAAAATAATACTTCATAGGTGAAAAATTCAATAAAAATAATATTCTGGTTCAAGGCAACCATTTTTTACAAATAACATAAGTCAAGATAATAGTGAAAACTACATGATTTCAATAATAAACCACATGGGGAGACTGATATTTAACAAAAAGAGTAAATACAATTTTCAAACATAGACAATATGATTGATAAATTTATTGTAGGTATTTTACATTTATTGTGTAGTAACATCACAGGAAATAATGGTTTAAATAATTTTTTTGAAACTTTCTAAATAAAACAAGCAGTTCAGGGTCAACATTCTAATGGACTGGAAAATAACATAGCGTCCATGGAATATCAAATGAAGCTTTATGCATAATGCTGCACATTACTAACTTTTCATCACCGCCATGTGACCTAGCATGCAATATCTCAGATGTTTTCTTGACCACTAACAAATTACGGTTACTAGATGTCTACACTCTATTCCACAGTGCGGGAGAATCTTCCAGGACCTTATTTTTTGGGGATTCTCTCCCTATTACATCGTGATTAGAATGTAGAAAGCTGATAACCACAATTTAATTAATGTAAAAAAAATTTTTCAAGATATTGCATGTTAAGTCAAGGAAAAGTTCCTATCGTGCAGTTTAAGTCGTTCTAATGGAAGGATTGGTGTAATGGGAAGTTTTACGAAAGAGTGAAGACTGTATTTGTTAATTAAGCAGGCTAAATATGGTTGAGTTCCATTTCTGGGTGGGATTTTAATTAGTTTCACATGACAGGGAACACTTCGTTGTTTAAATGAATAAAATCATAAAAATTTATCATAAAGTCTGTTTTATAACAACAATAAGTAAAGATAAATAGATTAAACAATAGTACCTCCTATAAAATATTCATCGCCAGTGAGCATTGAAAACTGCCTAGTTGTTACACTTGGTTTATCATCTACATGTAATTCTATTCTGTTGGTTTGTAGAATAAGCATAACTCTATGCCACAATCCATCACTTAAAAATCCTAAATTAAACATACAAATCAAAGGAATTAGAAAAAGAAAATGAGAAAAAATAAACCTCATTTGTATTTTTACTTACTCTCAGAGGCTTCTGTTACAACTTTAGGTGTATTTTCGCTCTGTAATTCTATCTTAATTTTACCTTTGTCAAGGAAAACCTAAGCAAAAAGTGAAAAATTAGATGAGAAGCAATTGCAATAAAGTTAAGCAAATGCTATTTAAGAGTACAATGAAAATGACAACTTGATATCATTAGTAAGTTCCAAGGATACTAATAATGAGAATGAAATTGCACTTTAAATTGTACATTGAAATATAATTTGAGTAACTTTGCACTATAAATTTAATATGAATAAGTTATTTCTAAACTAATTTTCTGTTTACCTATGCTAATTACAAATAACAACTGCTACAGATATTATTTACAAATAGCATTTTATTTATCATGAACATAAGACAGAAATATTAATTAGAGAAATAGCACTATAGTTTAATTTATATCACTATCATAACTTTTATTTATTAAACCGATATTAACGATAACCTCAATTTTTATAAACTTGATTACTTTTATACCATGAATTTGATATAAATCTTTAAACTTATATTCTGTTTACCTTCTGTTCTGATAATGATAAATAAAATATATTTTATAAGGGCAAAATATTTTCTAAAGAAGCTCTAAAAAGATCTAGAAAAAGTTTTGAAAACAATCAAACAGTTTTAAATTAAATTAGTATTTTAACATAAGCAGGGCTTAATTGATCAGGGGTTTTGATTAGTGTTAGTCCATGGTCAGGATATAAATTTCGCATTACCTTTATTTAAAAATACAAATCTATACTTTTAAGAATGGCTATTTTCTGTATTTTTTATTAGCACTATTAAATATTAAGGTTTTTCTTGTGCTAATGTTTTAAGGAATGTTTTGAAATAGCTGGCTTTCTCTTAATACAATTACACACTGAAGCAGTTATAACAAAATTTAGAGTCCATTAAAAAAAGCCTTGGGTTTCACTTTATCAGGTTTATTATTGTAACAAAAGACATATTCATTCAAAGCCATATTCATGTTTTATTACTTTATTTCAATATGTACTTATTAATATTATTTTACCTATAAGGTAATTTTCTACCAAGTTCTGAAAAAGCAGCAAGTAAGTGGTACTAAATTAGTTGCAGTGGAAAATTCAACACAATTTAGAAATGATTTAATTTCTACTACAGCAATTTCCGGTAGATAGGCCACGGCCTATATGTGTTTCAAAGTTTTTGTCTCGATGTGCAGCCTATACAAAAAATTCATTTGTCCCAAGCCATACATGATAATTTTTCAATCACGTTGGATTTATTCAAAAACAGATGTTTTGTGCTAATGATAGCAGGGGGTTAAGGGGAGAAAGAACAAAACATTTTATATCTCCCTTCCAAATTTCACATTCCGAAGAGGAGAGAGAAGTGTTTCACACTAAATTTATGTTGGGCTGTCGATGTCATAAATATTTTGGACATCATTGAATCCTTCCGCAAGTTCCGCCCCTCCTATGACTGCTGTGATCATTAACTTTCTTTTTAACACTTCATTTTCTTTTTAACTATTCATTTTCTTTTTAACTATTCATTTTCTTTACTGAAGGTTGAAGGTCACTGAAGAATCTACATTTCAAGGGTGTGGTTACATTTGACTGTTACTATTGTAACTAGTGAATGTAATAGTTATTCTACCTGGTTGCACCTGGAATAAGGTGACCTAGCGTGGGAAGGGGGGCCGTATGTATTTTAACATATTACACTGCTCTCTTCAAACTCTTTAGTTTGTTCCCCTTACTTGTTCTACAGAATTCCATTGATACATTTCCTTCTCTTTCTTTAATCTTACCGCTAGGCACTTTAGCATGAAAGATGTTCTTTCCTTGATGTCAGATGATGAAGATGACATAGAAAATGAGCTAGATAATGATTTACAATGTTTGTTTTGTTCTGACAGTGAAGAATACAATTGTGATGGTTTTGAATAAATATATGATCAGAAATATTTGAAAAGTAAATTTAAAAAATGGTGATTTATTTTGATTTTGTGATCAGTTTATTTTTTATCGAGCACACTTTCTCAACTTACGATTTTGATTGGTTATACATGATTCTTCTGTAAGTAAGTATCATTCTCAATTTTTTCTTTCTATAATAAAAGTATATATAAAAAAAGATTTATCAATAACTGTTTTCTAAGCATAGAGTTTATGTTTTAAAGATTATTAATTTGAAGTGTATTTTCATGCATGTGATATTTTATAAAAATCGATGATCGATCGAGGAAAAAAACGAAAGTGCGGCCTTTAAGATGAAAATTGAAATTTTTAGCGATGTTTTTCGTGGGTGTGGCCTGTACGGCGGTGCGGCGTGTCCACCGGAAATTATTGTACATTTTAGTCATAAAAAAATAATTACACCAAACCAAAAAATAAATAAATAAAAAATAAATAAACACTTTATTTTAATGGAAATTAGGACAAAAGAAGTTGATGACAACAAAGAAGCAGTTTTCTCCAAATACCTAAAAATAATTCAACTAAAAAAAAAAGAATTGAAAAAACAGCATACTCTTTCTTTTCCTTTCTTTTTTCTTAACCTTAAAATTTAAAAAATAAGGAGTTTTACCTTAACAAATCCTTCTTGAGAAAATTTATTATACAGCAGCAATCCATCATCCGTAAATGTGCGAAAGTCAAATGAGCAATTCATTATGGACTGCTTATACCCAGACAGCTTTAAGTGGGCCTCAGATGTTAGGAATGTAACAGGAATTACTTGCTCATACTAAAAAGTACATAAAAATCAAAATAAGGAATCTCAAAAAAATAAATATGATTTATATTGCAGACAGATTCCTTCTTGATGAAAAATTTATTTTCAAAAAAACTAATTCTTAACGAAATACATAAACCTACACAATGTTAAGTGTACCTCAGAAATATGAAAGTAACATTCTAGTTTATTTTAAGAAAAAAGTTTTCAAAAGTCACTCATTTGCAAAACATATAAAACTTTGAAAAATATACAGTGTAAGATCAAAATATCAGATTTCTAAAATCTGGAAGCTTAAGAAAACTGGACAACTTTTTCAACTTGCAACTAAAATAAAATAAGCTAAATTTTAACTAGAGGTGTGATTAATCATACAAATTTGAGGGAGGAAACAGAAATTCGCATCTTATTGATTTTAAAAACAAGACAGAAATATGTAGCAATGGCTGTTAAGAAAGGTATGGTCAAAGTCACATGGATACACGACGAAATCCCTAAAAACAGAGTGAGTCAAAAAGTGATTACTGAAATGCATAGTCAAATTACTATTATTATTATTACAAATTAAAATTCTTGTGATGCATTACTATCACACGAATAGTATCAGGATTTTAAAAACCATGTAAAAGTACATAGCATTAACTGCCAAAAAAAAATTTATTGACAAAACCAGCCAAATTTATACTTGATTCATTACGAATCTAACCTTTCAAAGGGAGATGAATAAAAAATAAGGGGTCGTAATACAACTGAAAATATTGAAGTTTTAAAAACATAAATAACACCACACGAATTTACTCTGGAATTGGCACCTTAAAAAAAATTATTTGATACTCAGATACAGAATTTTAACTTCATGTTGCAATATTAACATTAATACCAGGTTTTTATGAAACCATGTAGAAATGTTTTATAATAACCCTCGAAAAAGCGAGTGACAAAACTGTGTGAATTTACAACTGAATTGTCATGAATTGAGCCCATTAAAAAAGAGATTACTGAATGGCACAAACACTCATCGTAATATCCCATTAAAATATTGAGATTTCAAAATTATGTGATAATCCATAAATGACTGCTGAAAAAAAATTACTAAAAAAACTATGAGGATTTACAATGGCATCAAACATCTTTCATTTATTTTTTTATTTATACCTGTATTTCCAATATCTGTATAGATACAAATTATTGAGAACATAGTGTAGTAATGTAAAAAAAAATTTACTTCTACCTCTAACCTTATAGTATTAAGGATACTTAAGATTCTAGAAGTGAATTGTAAAAAAAACTTTGCTATACAATAAAAAATTATTTAACCATGTCCACCAGTGTAGCATAAAAGTAGTACTCTCCCCCCCCCTTTTTTTATAATACAGTATTTAAAGAGCAATATCAATATAAAGATACATTAACATTAAGCTATAAGAAATTGTAACAGTTTAATATAATAAACAAGAACATAAGTAAAACTTTTAAGTCAGTTGGACATTTAAAGTGTAATATCTATAAAGCAATGTGCTTTATGAATAGAAATTTTTATGGTCAGCAGTGAATATACCTAGTTATTCATAAAAGATAAATATTTAATCAACTAAAAGGTTTGATCTTTCACACCATATTACAAGAATAAATACTAAATTTTAACATGTTAAATGCTTTTTTTTAAAAAATAATAACAATAAATGTGTATGTAACTTTTTTTACAGGTTGTTATCATGATGCCTATATAGTAACAAATATTTGATCTTTAGATGCTACTGTATCAATGATATAAAATTAAATATAAATTAGAAACGTGATTACAAAGAATAAAAATAATGCTAAAATCAAATATGATTACAGTTAAACAGAGTAAAATCTTACCAGACATGTATAAGTTAAGTCTCCATACTGCTGATAGTCTCTTTTTTTCTCTTTTAATTCAGATATAAAATTGGTATTGTTAAAAAATAAGTTCTCTATACATCCAGTAAAATTATCATGAACCATTATTCCATCATTATTGAAGTTAGAAATACCTCCAACATTAATCTATAAACAAATAATATGCAGAATAAAATATTAAATTTTTATTAATTCGGAATAAAATCATTAAAAACAAGATAAATATAAAACAACAGACATTCTTTAGACAAAAGAATCCGTAAATTGAAGCTGGATATTTTGGATAAATAATTCACCTTTTATTTCTCACATTTCATTTTTTTATATTAATTTGAAGTTGACACAAAATCAGTCAGAAAAATGCTGAAATTTGAAATTTCTAAAATTAAATTACTTCTTTAAAAAAAAAGTAAGTTAGGTCAATAAAGAATCATAATGGAAAGAATGGAAACCCATGAAAAAATTAGGAACTTTAAAGAGGAATAATTTGATTCTAAATATGAAAAAATTTGACTTATATTTGATAAAAGTTTGGTTTCAAAAATTTATGTCCTCAAAATGGATAAGTATCATTCTAAATCAGAAAAAAATATTTCTTTCTTTTCATGCATAAAATATTTTTTTCATTCAGTGCATAATATTATACATATTTCTTTTTACAAAACTAAGAATTAGAAAAAATATGAGGAATTATAGCATAAATTAAATACAAAATTTGATGATTTGAATCAAAATTATTCAAATTAAGACATCAAATTAAATAGTTAATACATTTTCCTAAAATATTCTTACCATTACTGTTTTTTTTATTTTTTTTATGGAATTTTAAGTCAAAGTATAATGTTTTTAGATATACAATTCTGTTAAGAACATCAAGAAAATCAGACCATGAGTATTACCTTAAAAACAAAATTGAAACTATAAAAAAATGACTAAGGTCAATTTTTGTGCTATAAGGTTTTGTTAGTGATTAAATAACATTCAGTAAGATTTTTATTAAAATTGATGTAAATAATTAAAAAAAAATTTCTCCTCTTCTATAAATTTTCTCCCTTTTTTTTTAATGATGAAGATAAGCATTTTTCTTGCTCCATTTAATGATAGGAAAAAAAAAATGTCAAATCATTCATATAAAATTACAAGATAGTAATATAAATAAGTAAGAATTCATTTCAGATGCACATTTTTTTTCCTTTAAAAAATGACAAGATTCTTCCAGAGAATTAACAATCGAAAAAAGGACTTTATATTGCATACAGAAATATAATAGAAAATAAAGATTATTTTAAGAAAACGATAAAAATAATTCAAATGCATATTATATTTCTAAAAAATTATATCTAGAGCGAACATCCTGCACAGTTTTTATTTTTAAACTATTTGTTTGCAACTTACTTCTCTTTTTATGTTCAACTGTAAGAAATCGCCTCTAATTTTGGCTGGAACTACAACTCTGTCGACAGTAAATGTAATATCACGATTTGAACGCATGATGGAAACATCATGCCACATGTTATCATCTAATAAGCTGCCAACTGAGACACTAGTGATTAAGCCTTCTCCTCCTAGAGAAACCACATAATTTTTAACATTGTGCAACAAATTTTATTAGTTGAGACCGTGTTATTTTACATAAATAAATTTTATCCAACTTCATACCTAAATCAATATTCAAAAGAAGCTTATTGTGAAGTAGTTGAAGCGCAACGAAATCACCTTGGCTTCCTCTACTGTACAAGATAAGTCCATCTGCATGATTTGTACGAAATCGGAAGCGCATCATTTCTGATTCACTGGCAATAGGATAATAAAGCTCTTTGGTGAAATAACTTTTTCCATCAAAGTTTACTGATTCACTAACTAGAATAAATATATAACATAAATTATAATTATCCTTTAACAGCAACTATTAACTATCTAAATTAATTCATTGTTCTTAAATAAATTACACACAGAATTCAAAAATGTCTATCTCTCAATCTAATGCAGAAGGAGGAAAAACTATTATATATATATATACANATATATATATATATACATACACACACATATATATATATATACATATATATATATTAAAGTTATGGAATTTGTATGCTCAAATTGAAATGAAACTCGAGTAAAACATTCTATTTTCAGTGATTTTTTAATTTCATTTTTGTTCAATATCACACTAAACTAGAACTACAACAATATATTTTTTTCAAATCATAACATAACAGGAACAAATATTTTAATACAAATAAAACATATTAGATTTTTTTTACATAAGGCATGAAAAATTTAATACATTTTTAAAGAATGGATTTTTAAAAAATATATATAGAATTTAAATACTTATTCAAGATGAACAAAATAAAGATTTTATAAGCCAATCGTAATTTCAATATTTTGTTTAGGTAACTAATTAGAAAATATAACTCTCATTTGGAAAGAAAACTATTAATATTTTAAAAATTTAAGCATTTTAAAACATGTTAAAGTTTTAAAAGCTAGCAGAATCAATATAGATAATATATAAAAATTAAAAAAAGAGAGAAACTATACAAACTGATATTTTTTTCTCAATCAATGAGAAATCCTAAATTAATTATAAATATAATAAGATTTAGTAAAGCTGGAGGTAGCAAAATAATGAAGAAAACAAGATCACTTGCATTTCCAACATCAAAATTGTGACAGGTGAATATCATTTTTATTTTCTTTAATAGAACAGAACAAGACTAGCTTTTGCTTGAGAAGATTGAAATTTATTTTGAATACATTTTAAATAAGGCTTAATAAATAAATATGTTTTTTTAATTAGCTATTATGCTTTACAAATGCATTAAATCATATTTTTTATCTCAGACCGCTTTATCAGAGAGCTTAGACTCAGACTGCTTGGTTGTTAACTGACATATACTATTAAATTTTACCAAAATAGAGAGCATATTTTAGCTAATTTTCAACTATAACCATGAAATACCATAAAATACGATCCATAAAATAAAATATGAAAACAATAAAATATAAAAAAACAGAAACATAATTTTAATCGACTTTTATTATCTTACCATAGTCGCAGCCATAAAGTTCAACTCGCATAGAAATTCTGTCTCTCCATCTTGTAGGATTAATTCTTATCCACTGGGCAATTATTGGCATGTCAAACTTATTCAATTTAATTGTATCGCCATCTACATTCCCAGTAAACAGCTAACAAAAAATAAATAAATAATCAGCATATAGATCAGGGGTTTCCAACTTACATGTGGCCGGTGGCCGCAATTAAAAACACCAGTCAAATGGCGGGCCGCAACTTTATCTAAATTTTATATAGGACTCTTTTATGTTTGAAGGAACATTGAGTATTACTGTCAGATTTTTATCAAATTTTTTTTTAACTTTAAAAAAGCAAAATAACAAGCATTACAAATAATGCTTGTTACATATCATTTTGAATCTTCTCTTAATCAGAAACTTAGTGACAAGATATTGTTTCTTTTAAATTTAATTCAGTGATGAATTAACATTTTGTTCGACTTATTAGGAATTATAGCAACAATAAAAAAAAAAATTTAGAGCATCTGAGACAAAAAAAATATTTCTTTTCCGCTCATGTGATATTCAATTCAAAGAATTTAAATTAAACATGATATTCATTCCCTCTCTTATGCGTTTTAAAATTTACAAATGTTAATAATTTTATCCAAAATGAGCAGTTTCAAAAAGTCAAATGAGAATTTCTTCGAGAAAATTTCTGATATGCCCATGCTGAATTATGTTCACGACATAAAAAAGAGCAACATACACGATTATTTTTGTATTTGAATAAATATTTTCTTGGGTGCAAAACCCGAGAAATAAATTTTTTCGCATCGTTGGTTTGTTAAATTTCACAGAAACAAAGAAATTAGGTTTTCTTAAACGAAAGAAAAGTATTTTAAACCCATATAGATTTTTTACGGAAATCGTCCGAAAAAAACCGACAACTAATATATTTTAGTTCGCGGGGCACAAAAAAAGCCTTTGCGGGCCAGAGTTGGTTACCATTGATATAGATATTGAAAAATAAAATACTATTGATTGCACGATATACAACTATTAGAAACTTCAAGCTAAAATAAACAGACATATTGGGTACAATGCAACTTGTCATGAAATTTAGTTTAAGACTGATAAAATAAATATCTAAGTTTTGAAATCTAAGTTTTTAATAAAAATCAAAGTTTTGAAGATAATTCAAGCAAGTAAATATTTGATTAACATTCAAAGAATTTAAGTCAATTGTATGTTTCAAAAATAAATGAATATGTATCTTACAATAAAAATATTATAAATGAGCAATTATGAAGCAAATTGTAACATTAAAGTTTTAACTGGTTAAAAGCTTTGATATTATTTAGATTTTAAAAACTACTTAAACAGATACTTCAACCAATCATTTGAATAGCAATTCAGTACATTAAGAAGATTTAAACTCTTAAATTTGAAGGATTTTAACAATTACTTGACCTTAATAACTGTAATTTTTAAAAAATTTCTAAAATAATGTAAAGCAATAATACACAATAAAGAAAATTGCAACATAATGCATAGCTAATCAAAATGCTTTTTTTATTACTGTTTTTTATGCCACTTATAACATTTAGTTCAAATAGCACTAAAAATTAAATTAAATTTGTTGAACTTAAAACTTGAATTTAATAGAAAATTACACGAGTAAAAAGTGTTAACCCATATTTTATTTTACTTTGAAATAAACAAATTAATATTTTTTTTAAATATATTTTCTTTTACATACTTCAAACTAGAAAATTTATTGCAAAATTTTTGTTGTTTAGCAATTGCAAAATATTACTCGAAAAGAATGAAAATTCTCATTCATTTTAATTATTTAGAGAAGGAAGGAAAAGAAGAAGTTTTATAAGACATGGGTTATTCCTTTTACCCTTAACGTTTTTATAATTATACAAACACATATTGATTAATATTCCTTCACAAATGAAGGGAAGGAATTAAATACAAAAAAGTGTAATAACTACTATAAAAAAAAAGGTTTGGAAAAGAACAAAAGCATATAAGAACTTTAACACAATGAAAATATTTCACTAAGTGAATATAAGAAGTTATTGGTCCATGCCATATTAGATATTATAAAATGAAAACTACATCAGGAAGTGCAAAAATGTATAGAAATGGATATTTTTAAACCAACAAAAAGAAATTGGCAATGCAAAACAATAAAAATAAAAACAGAAAAGAAACAACACTAAAATGCAACAACAATAAAGAAAATAAAGACCATAAACTAGTACTAACAACTAAAATTAATCTATAATACGCATACTTAATTATTAAGACTTCCATTAAAAAAACAATAACTTTCATAAATTAAAAATTATTGAGAAGCAACTATGATTCTATCCTCTATTACTTTTATGCATTTAGTAAAGTAGAAGGTCAGCAAATTCCAGAGAAATATAACAGTGAAACAAGAAAATAAGCTGTGGAGAAGCATGATAACAGCAGTATAATTTATGATTGGGATCAAAAAATCAATATACAATCGATAAAAAACTTTCATATTAGTCTAATGAAACTGATATCTGTAAAAATTGAATGAAGCTGAAAAAGTTTTTTTTTCCTTTATTGTTGATATTCAATATTTATCTGTTTTGAAGTTTTTTATTTATACATTTATTTGAATTTTTTAGAATATATTTAAATTTGTATCGATCCTCTTAAAACAAAAACATTAGAAACTAAAGTTGTGTAATACATCACAAAATAGGAATATTATTTGCGACAATGATATTTTGATACATATTATCACATTATATCATATATACTATGTTTTGTAATGTATATTGAGATAATTATCAAGATTGAAAATTCTGCAATAACAATTGACAATAATAATTAATAACAACAATAAATGAAAAAATAATAATGTGATCTAGCAAAATTTAAATAATTGTGATTCACTATGATATATCAATATTTCCGGCAATGCATTGCAATATTTTGATTTCAGTATTGCTGTCACTAACAGAAACATACTTTACTGTTTAAATCTGACCAGTTATGTTAGCAATAGACTGGATATATGAATTAGTTACTTTTTGTAGAACTTCCAATGCTGCTTCATATTACAAAATAACATTTGAATTAACTTTCATATCCTCCACAAAAAAAGCATAAATTTCATGCAAATATTGAATACTAAATCAAGTGCAGAAAATTATGAAATAAAAATCAGAAAAGCAGGATAGGAAAAAAACTCAAAAGAAACAAAGGAACAAAACAGAAAATGTAAGAATCATTAAAGACTTCAAAAGAATATTCAGACCTGAATTTCTCCATCAGAAGAAATATAAGTTCTCCATGAATCTCCATCATTACTAAACTGTATACAATATTCTGACACAAATTCATTAGAAAAAGCATGTCCTTGTGTAGAAATTCGGTGAATAATTTTTCTACTTCGAAATTTAAAAGTTAAGTATTGAAAATAATCATTATAACCTGCAGTCCATGAGTACAGACCTAAGAAAAAGTTAATTTTCAAAATTTAAAAATTCATAAAAAAGTCAAATTTAGGGAACATTTTATTAATAATCAGTAGTTCCATCAAGATTAGCCTTAAATGAATTAAAAAAAGAAATTGCATCAGTCTCAGATGTTATTCTCACACTGAAAAAGCAGTACCAATATACTTATCAAAACATTTTTCATAAAAAAGTTTAAAAAATGAAAACTCTGAGGTCACCTTAATAAAAGCTTAAATAAACAACCTGTAAAATAAATAATATTAATTTATTAGACATATCATTTATACATCACAAAGAAAAAAATTTATTTTAAAAAATGAAAGCAATTTCAGAAAAAAAAGAAAGAAACCCATAGAAAAAGATTGATTTTCTGCATGACATCTTTAGGCGGAATAATTACAAGAAACTTACAATTTACAAGCATCTAGAAGAAGTAAGAAATGTTAAAACGAATTAAACCTCTTAAGTCAGAAGTAAGAAAATTTAAAAGTATTTAAAATAAATACCAGTGGTTACTAGAGGGAAGAGAAACCCAGAGGAGGAGAAACGAAAAATAGCGATTTTAGAAACTAGAGGACAAGCATTGCTTAGAAAAGTATAATGTCAATAAGACATATTTTTAAAGGACTATTTTGTTTGTTTCTTTTCTTTACCCTAGTATGGCCCTCCCGATCTTTATATTCTGAGTAATCCAGATACTTATTGCCATATTCAATTCTGTATTCTTGCACAAACTCTGAGGTATAAGGTCGGCCCTGAGTAGCAATCGCTGTAATGTTGCGTTTATCACGCAAGTCAATTATAAGATATTGGCTAAAATCAGCAGACTTAGCAGTCCATGCACCGTTTCCTAAAAAGATTAATCCAATTTATCATAAAAATATTTTCGTAAATAATATTTCACTGAAAGCTTTAAATTATTATTTTTTAACATAGAGCCAGGCATAAAATTTTGTTGTAATGTACTTAATTACACATTAAAAGGAAAAGAAAATAATAAGATAATGATTTAAATTGGCAAATTTAGCAGCATATGTCCACTTTTTATNGGACTATTTTGTTTGTTTCTTTTCTTTACCCTAGTATGGCCCTCCCGATCTTTATATTCTGAGTAATCCAGATACTTATTGCCATATTCAATTCTGTATTCTTGCACAAACTCTGAGGTATAAGGTCGGCCCTGAGTAGCAATCGCTGTAATGTTGCGTTTATCACGCAAGTCAATTATAAGATACTGGCTAAAATCAGCAGACTTAGCAGTCCATGCACCGTTTCCTAAAAAGATTAATTCAATTTATCATAAAAATATTTTCGTAAATAATATTTTACTGAATGCTTTAAATTATTATTTTTTAACAGAGTCAGGCATAAAATTTTCTTGTAATGTACTTAATTACACATTAAAATGAAACGAAAATAATACGATAATGATTTAAATTGGCAGATTTAGCAGCCTATGTATCACTTTTTATAGTAATTAATTCACTAACTATAAAGCAAATTTATAAATACTTACTTCACATACTATTTCATACATATATATATATAGACACAAACAACTATACATAGAGTTCTTCCAAGGAATAAAAAAGGGCAGGGCATTTCCCCTCAGAAAACAGCACTTGGAGTTTTGAAAGAGTAATCTTTAAACACCTCAAAAATTCATTAAAATGCAATATTAAAATTTATTTAAATGTAATATTATGTAATAACTGCATTTTATCTTCAACAATTTTTAAACTACCCTTGTATACAAATTTATGTGCATAGATTAAAAAGTAAATCTTTCTCATTATCAAACAAAATAAGAGAAAAATTTGTAGTTTATAAAAATAATTAAAGGCATGCCAAAAAATAATCTCTGTGCATAATCTTTTTTATAAAAAGTAACCTAAGAAAAAATGATTAATTAATAAACAATTTGAAAGCTTTTTTCTATAATTCAAACTAAAACTTATGAGAAAGTGAACATTTAAAGGTGCTTTAAAAAAAAAGTATTTATTTAAAAAATAGCTTTAAAATTTAAAATCATTCTTAAAAAAAATTACTAATACCACCCCCCCCCCAAAAAAAATGCTTATAAAAATTCAACTAGTTGAGAATAATCCTAACAAAGTATGTAATAGTAATCAGAATTACACCTATAAACACTTATAATTTTATCAGTACATAATTATTATTTAAACAGTGAATTTCATTTTTATTGTGTTGAAATTTTATTTAAAATGGAATATAAATTAAAATTTAGTATTTTTAAGTACACATATAACAATCTACAAATATAAACTCATATTTCAGTTTGTAGTGAGATGTAGTGTAGAGCAGTATCATTTAATTTAGAATTTAAAAAAACAAAACAAAGAATGCAAACTAAAACTGAAACTACTGACTGGAGAAAAAAAAATTTTTTTTTGCACATTAGAATATGTTAAATAACAATATTTACAAAATTTCAAATCAGAACCACGTAAAATTAACCTCTTAACTTAAAAGCCACAGCCAATATAATTGATAATTAAGTCACAGTAATACAATAGCAACGAAACTACATTAATAGAAAACACAAAAAATACCATAACATGTTTAAATGTGGGTTTTTTAATTTAAATATTTATTTATTAATCAAAGTAACAGTAGGTATGCTAAAGCTAGGAGAAAAAAATAATAACATGAATAAAGAACAAATGAAAATACAGAAATAGACATATTGTAGTTTCAGTTCTATAAACAAGAATTCTCCTCAGTGTCTAAACTCCAAATGTTTTCCACCTCTCTATAATATTTCATAGTTTTTTTTTTTGCTTGATGTAGTCTATATAGCTCAAAGTATACCCTATTCATTTGTCGATAACAGTAGGTATTCTTTTAAAAACTGAATCAAATGGAACTTTCTGAATAACCTTAACATTTGAGCTCAATACACTTAAAAAACAATAAGTTTAAACACATATTTTTTTCGGCAGTAAGTTTTCACAGCAATTTTCTCCGCTCAAAGCTTAAGTCCTGTTCATAAATTTATATCAAGTTAATTTACGAATAATTTATTTATTTACATACATAAAAAAGAACAGGATAGGAATCTTCTTTAAAGCTAGATTTAAATAAAAAAGAGAAGAGTTTTTTCAAATATTCCAAGAGAAGAAAAATGACAATCTGTGTTGAAATAAGTAGAAAAGTTTTAAACGATTTAGAAAATACTCCACAGAAATGGTTTTTAGAAAACCCTCTTTAACAAATATTTAGATTTAGTTTAAAGAAATCACAATCAATAATCAACAATATTTATAAAATTGCTATTTCATTCGTCTAACAAAGCTAAACCAGTCAGTCAAAAATATGCATGTGCTTGAAAATGCCTCATTCGAAGTAGCATAATTAACACTAATTTAATACTGTAAATACTGACATGTTTTTAAAAATAAACAATCATATAGACCTTTAAGAAATGCTTTACAATAAATAGAAATTCCATTATTAGAACATAATAAAAATAATTAACTTGAAATTCAAACATAAATAATAAGCATTTGCATTGATAAATAAACAAACCAGTATACATTCATCAAAAAATCAAATACTAACCATTTAATCTTCCTTTATCTGGTCCACGATCACTTGACATAGAAGTCGATGAATAAATTTTGGACTTTTCTAAGAGTGGTTCATTGCAATCATCTGAAATTAATTTGTGCCATTATATTATAATTGATTTGCAAGACTATAAATAAATAAAAATTACTGTGTACATCTTTTTTGAAGTAATACAAGTTAAAAGTAACACAAAATACATAGATTCCATGAATCAAGATTTTCTCGATAGCATCCAATATTTATTATACTCTGTATTACATAAGAAAAGTTAATTCCAATTTTATAAAAATGGATTGGATTTAAATAGCATCTATGAGTTTTTAGACAGTAGTGTTAACAGCCATACTGTAAGGGCTCACAACTTTTTCAAAGATGGAATACATGAAAATGTCTGGTTCTTTTGAGGAGCTACAACTTAAAATGAATTAAATTGGTATTTTCTAGTGCAATAAATATAATTTAAATTTGTCTTAAAAATCAAGAGAAAAAATACAGCAAATTTATTGCATAATATTATTTTAAAAAACATTTTAAGTTTTGTTCCCTTTTTCTTTAAGAAAATTAAATTTAATTTTCTCTTTGAAAATATTACTGTTGCAACTTCTTTACAAGTTCAAATTTTTTAACAAATCTTTGAACAGCATTTGTTTTGAACATAGTTTGGTAAAAGAAATTTTATTTTTAAAAAAAATTGTATTTAAACGTTTTATATCTTTTGTCACCAAAATTTTTGGATTTCAATCATATAATGCAATATTTTTCTCAGTTTTATTTATTTAGGATGAACTAGGGTAGGTTTTTTAATTTAACTTTCAGTCACCAAATCAGGGACAACATTTGTACTAGGATTATGTAACGCAGTTTTCACAAATAACATTTTTTTAGCAAATGTTTTGGAGACATATGCATTTCAGTACCTGCCCATATTAAATACAACCGCCAAGGGCAAAAGGAATTTTAAATTTTCACAATTTAAGAAAAATATAGTTGAGATTAGTCTGGGGGTAACTACGAGTTATACTCTTGGACTTGAATATGTCTTTTTCTGTTACTTTTTTCTCCTTTTTTAAGTGCTGCTAAGCAAACAAATGTACACAATGCTGTTTCATTAAAACTTTTTTCACAATGTCTTTAAATTACCTTCACAGTTGAAACACACAGTTTGATAATGGTTCGTCATTCAAATAAATTATTTTATAGATCCCTTCAAAGAAAAATAACTGTCATCACTAAAATCAAAAAAAATGTATTAATTTAAAACTAAAGTCACTCGTTTAATCACTAGGATTCGAGCTAAAGAAATGTTACTACCATAATAGCTATACACTTCTATAATAATAACTCAAATTGAAATTTGGTACTGAGCCTTGTTATTTTATGTGTAATAAATACCAAACACAAATTCTTTTCTGTTAATAATAACAACAACTTATTAGCTCATTAACCGAAATGACAGAAAGAGATAAACAACTTTGAGATAATAGTTAAGGGAGAAATAGTACAACATTATTTCTACTATCTTCTTAAATTATTTTACAAGTATAATATGAAAGATAAATATACATAATTCAAAACTATGAATAAAATAAAACTTATTATATTTTATAAGAAAAGAAACAATAATTATTACAATAAAAGAGGCATCTTAATGCAATTAAAATTTTTACGTCTACCTACCGTATGCTTTTATTTGAAGAATATGAAACAGAATAAAACTAAATAATACTAATTTCTCCATTTTCAATAAATATCTACGTTATCAAACATAATTAATAATTCCATACATCTTAAGTCTAATTAATTATAACTGAATTAGCGATTTCAAATAATTGATCGCGTAAATTACAAAACTCAAAACATGTTTACATCCAATGGAACACACCCAAAACAGGATGACGATAAACGGTTAAAAATTCCGTCAAGGCTATGAGGCTAAATATTTTTGAATATAAAATTTATTTATTCATAAATAGGAGGAAGCTTTCAAAAAAGGTTAAATATAAATACGGATGTTTTTCCCTCACAAACAGAAGGTATAATTGATATTAAAAATAAGATTTTTTATAAAAATAAAAATGAGAAAAATGTTAGCTGTAACCAACTTGAGCAGACGGCTTGCGGCCTATGGGGGAAGAAACAGAAAGAAAACATAGCAGATTAAGTTTGAATAATTGACTCGTGTTTTTGCCGGTTTATTTATCATCTCAACAGGTACTTCTAAATTAAATTGAAAATGTACCCTTAAGTTTGAGCAGTAAAACTCTAAAATTTTAAATTTACTGAAATAAACCTTAAGTATTTATAATAATATACTATAAAGGATCTGTGAAATATTTGTTAACAATGAGCAAATATTTGTTTCGCATTTTATTTTGTGAAATTTTCACACAATACTTCTATTATGCTCATAATCACTTTATTTTTAAGTACAATTTAGATTATTAAAGTTAAAATTTTCATTCGTATAATGATATTTTAGTTGTAGTTCAAAATGTTGTTTTTCAAGCTGTAGCAATTATAGGCTTTATTCTGTGTTGTATGTAATGTATGTATGTTTCATTTTATGCAGTTGCAAAAATCTATGATTTGAAATTGTGAATAAAACTAATCTAGCATGGAAAGTAAATCTGAATCCAGTATTAAAGAATGGTTTCCTCACCACATAATATCTAAAGGTTTATTTTTTTCCTTATTCATTCCGCAATTAATTTCTTTTAAAGAAACTATTGTTTTTTATTATTATATTGAAGAACTTTGTCTCTATTATATTTGCTTTGATAAACAAATATATGATATTTCTGTTATATAAAGCAGTTTTCATTGTAACTTTTTTGTGGTCGTAAATAAATATCTTGTCATAAATAAAATGGAGAGATTTCCGTATTGTGATCTGTGGCAGAGTAATCGCCAAGTCTGGGCAACTTCCGGGCAGTAGTCCGCGAGAAACTAAAAATAGAATCACAAAAAGGAACCAACTCAAAAGGTATAAATAGCAATATCTAGGAAAGGTATAACCCAAGCAAATATCTGCAGGTTTTTTTTTAAAAAAATTTGCAAGTTAAAAATGTATTTGGCACCTTGGCGATTGTAATTAGCCTGACAGATCAGGATACAGAAATATGCCCGATAGAATAATTAATATTTTTTAATCTATTCTGTGAAGTTTCTCACGGGCCATTGCCAAGTCATAGCAATTATTCTGCCACAGATCACGATACGGAAATCACCCCCTTTGTTGCATTAAAACTCTAATTTATTAAAATAATATATCGTATATAATTTTTTTTCTCTTACATAAATGTGATTATAATACGCAAAAAAAATTATTATTCAACTAATTTAATCTAATCAATAATTTAATATCTTATTGGGATCAAAATTCTCAGAGCAGAATTCTCTGCAACATTTCACATGCTTTCAACATTAGTCTGTGGAGAGTCATAGGAAAATTAAGTACATTAGTATGTGTCTTGATTTTCAAATAGATTAAAAACTTTTAAGTTGAGAAACTATATGGAACTGAAAACTACATTGAAGAACATAGTTGTAAAAGAAAGTGTGGGGGAAATTTAAAAAAAAAAAATGAAAAATGTTAAGAAAGGGGAAAATATAATAGTACATTCCTATACACCTAAAAAAAAGGGAAGGAGGGGGGGGGTCAACGCTTGAGAGCATATCCCATCATTGCGATAACAAATATAGAAATCACCAAAAAAATATCTTTCTCGTATAAATTAACTGGCATGATTACTGTTTCTAGTTTAAAGATAAGAGAAATATATATTTTCTGATAGTTGTTACTCCTGTTTAAGAACAATTTAAATTATTTTGTTCTTTCTTTGAATCCCTAATAATATTTTACAAAAATTTAATGCAAAATTTATGAAAATAGTAATATGTTGTATTGTTTTGTTTATAGGAATTAAATGATTTATTGGTGTTGTGTTGTAGAAAAAGTTAACTGTAAACTTCCCTTAGAGTTAAGACTTAAATATTTATCTGCATCTCATTCAATAATCAAACAAAACTAGTCTCCATACATAGATAAGAACTAGGATTTTCTTCATATACAAGCAATTAGTACTTATTAAGTCTTACATAACTGGATAAACCTTTTCCTGTCTACAAAGATTGAAGCAAATGTGTACACTAAATTTAAAGTAATTAAGAATCTCTAATTCAACATCTGTCAGGTATTGCGGCCAATCACCAATTTTTTGTTCCTTGTGATCTGTTTGGTGTTGAATTACCGTTTGGCAAGATTGTATTGCGCCAGCCATCTTTCATCATAATGTAAAGTGACCACATTTTTATTGAGACAAAGTGGGACAAATGGGATGAAATGGGAATTACAATTTAGTCAAACTTTCAACACGCACAATATATATATATCAGGGATGCTACGCCTGCGCCATTTGCGACAAACTGAGACAAAACGGCATAACTGCGCCATTTTGCGACATTCAGCTCAGTTTCTGCCAAAGCTGCGCCATTCTGAGACAAAACGTCCAAAATTTGGCAAACCTGAATTCAGTTTCAAATATTAATCCGCATTGCCGTGAGTCATTGGAGATCATTTTGCCGTTCACGTCTCCAAGGGATGAAAGACTTCCACGAAAAAGCNTATATATATAAAAATACGAATAAATGTTTGCAATAATATTTTCAACATCAACTGGAAGTAAGTCAGATGCTGTTTGAATAGTTAGGTATAGAATGTGCGCTGCACAACCTACTCCAATATTTTTTTGCTTCAAATGTTCGTTAAGTTTCGTAAAAACGTTATTGATGCCTCTTCTAGTTTTTCCACCAAAATTTATGTTAGTGTTATCCGCACAAAGGGCAATAATTTTATTGTTCAAATTATTCTTTTTTAAAATAGTACTTATTAAATCAAAAGTTATTTGTGAAGTTTCATCAGGCAATGAAACAAAATCTAATATTCTAATATTAATTCCTCTTTCTGGATCAAAAAATCTAACACCTGTGGGAAATAATTTTAATTCTTTGTGGTTGGAAGCATCAGTATATATGGATATAAATGCGCATTTTTCTAGTTCTTTCTGCAATTGTGAAAACGAATATGGTGAAAAAACATTACAAATAGTTGCTTCGGGTTTTGTCCTTGCACATGCATATTTTTTGTCGTATAATGTTTTGATCACTTGCGACGTACAATCCATTGATCTGAAACTTTGATTGTGGTGTATGGTGCGGAAAGCAAATAGCCCCTCCGCTAATGCTAGCTGTTTTTCCGTGTTGCTAAAGCTAGCACTGCGAAAAACTGTTCCATTTTAGATGAGGATGCGGCATTATTAAAAAATCTTTTGTGCCTCTTTGTCGCTAGATGTTTAGTAATATAGTTTTTTCCACCATGTGAGACCGAAAATTCAGCATTGCGTTTATCACACCGTACCATATAGTCTATTTTGGTACTTTTAATAAATGGAAATTCTCTGCTTAGCTCTTCATTAAATTTGCATCCTCTTTTTTTTACCCATCTTTTATGTTGTGGGTAAATACTAGAAATAAATAAAAAAATTACTATGAAGGCTGAAAAAGAGTATTAAATTTTACCTTATTGACCGTTACTTTGTGGCGACTATTGCTCAACCTTTGTCAATCAAGTAATGAGTCAAACCGAACGTCAAATTGAAAACAACAAACCGCTCTGTGTAACGGCAGTCCGCACTTATCTGAATTCCGAGACGTAAAGACAACGATCACACACCACCGAGTAAATCTAACTTGGCACATTGCCTAATTTAGTTCACTCTACACACATTTTATGTGTTTTTCATTTCTTTATATTCACCATAATACTTAATAAATAATAGGAATATATTTTTACCGTACATTTAAAATAAGAAATGTAGATATTTTCTAAAAAGCGGGGTCCCGCAGTGGACTGATCGTTAAGGCACGGTTCCCAGCAGATCACCGAAGTCAAGCATCACTGGCTGCGGTCAGTGTGCGGGTGGGTGACCACTTGGATCAGCCTGCATATGGACCCAGAGTGTGTGGTATTGGTCCTCGTTAAACTGTTCTACCGTAAAGTGCTCGACTTCGCGTGCAGGTTGTCGGGCTACCAAAGCAGGGGTGGCATCCCCTCTGCAGAGGATCAAAATTGTGATGGCATGTCTTCGGATCATCCTCAGGGATGTTTCCCAGACCATCGCCAATAGCCCATTGTGCAGCTCTTGTGTGATGTAAATGAACAACAACTAAAAAGCAGGACATTTTTAAAAATCGGCGGGACAGTCCACCAAAAATCGGGACGTGTCACTTTATCATAATGTAACTTTTTGAACTACTCACTCTTGTTCTTGTTTATTGAATTGTTAAGAGCGTATGGTTGCTCTCTAATGCAAGTTCATGCGTGAACTAATTAATTACATTTGTTAAATAAATATTTGTTAATTATTATACAGTCCACGTTATTACCTTCAATTTTAACTATTGAGCTATCATAGGACCGTACAGTTGGTCCGTCGAGCCGGAGCTTTTTTTTCTTTCTTTTTTTTGGTTTGAGAGAGAGACTGGAAAAAGTGGGTTTTTAAATCTCTCCTCCCTATACAAAATTGATGTGTTCCAGAAATTTATAAAATAGTACACTAACTAAAATTTAATCAAGGCAGAAAGTTTTGAAATACCTACTTTCAGCTTTGTATATTTTTTATATAATTTTTATTTACATGACAATCAAGGATGAGAAAGAAAGATCAAAGGATGATAATTATTAATTAATGTTTACTTAATTCCAATGAAGGTAATTATATTCAAACCGTGGAAACGTTGGAAGCTACTGAAGCAAATGTCCTGGTTCTTTAATAATTCTTTTGCGGACTTTCAAACTGTAAATTTTGTGAGTTTTACTCTATCAAAATAGTATACTTTAAGGATTTGTAAAAATATGTATTTTGATATTTTTATTCAAGAATTTTATTTATTTATTAGGAGAACCTATCGCTTTACTCATCCTAAACCAACCACTTGATGAAGAAAACGTAGAATATTTACAGTCTATTTGGAATTCGGGTAATCATCTGTGCTCCATAAATTATTAAATAGTTAAACATTATGACTTGTAACCTAAGAAATTTGCCAGTTACAGCTTGTGCGTTATTAAGTGATGTTAAATTGATTTTTTTATCTATTTCATTTATATCATATATGTTATAATTTTATAAGAAATATATATATATCAAGCATTTCTTTAAAAGTCATTTATGTGATAAAATCTCTAATTTTCTCACACTGATTGAAAGAAACTTAAGTTCTCAGTCTTTTTTTTTATGAAAAAAACTAAAAATACTGGTTAATATTTCATTTGTTTTACTAATATTTTTTTTTCTTAACAGCTTATTTTTTAAAACATATTTTATCAGTACATCATTTTAGTAATAAAATCCTTGTGCATACGTTTAGAAAATGTATTACTTTATAACTTCTAATTTATTTAACTCTGTTTTGATTTAATTTCAGCTGCATTCCGTGTAGCTGTTGATGGTGGAGCTAATGAGTTAAAGGATAGTTCTAAGAATCATATTAATCAAACAGAACTTATACCAGACTTGATTTGTGGAGATTTTGACTCAGCTTTACCAGAAATATTAGATTATTACAGGGAAAAGGTATACTGGCTAGAATACAATATCCTGATATATACAATTCCATTTTAGTGTGATATTATTTTCTTAAGTGATTTTTAAATTTTCTTTAAAAGCACTAAGTTATATTATTTCTATAAATTTCTCTGTATGCCTGAGAATCAATTTAACAAACAAATTTTAGTTGTGAGTCAGAACAGAAAATTCGACGAATCTTGTTAGGAATTTAATAACTTATTTTATTAGTTACATAGTGTTTTTTACATCCTTAAACAAATCCTTATAGGACAAAGATTTGAAGTTTCTAATAATAAAACCATAAACTTCACTTTTGTCTAAAATTATATTCATCATCTTTCCATATATAAATATCATTTTCATAAATTATTGCGAAATTTGCTAATAGTGCTGCATACTGATGTAACCAACTGTTAATGTGATAGTAAAGAGCAATTAAGATGTATTCCATTTGTATAGGAAATTTTTATTTAAATGTTATGTTTTAATTTATCTTCATTAACTATTTTAATCTTAATGTACCTATCTGTAGTTACCTTGACCTACCTACATGCTTGTATTATAGTAAATGTTTATTTAACTATTGTAATCTAAAAATCTAATGCAAAATGCTAAGAAATTTTTATTTTATGAAATTGTCTTATTAAATGTGAAAAACTAAATACAGAAAGCTTATGTGGATTTACTCAGCTTTACCAGAAATATTACAAGTAAATTAGTTTCACACTACAAATCCATGAAACATATTTCACTTTCAAAGTGCTCTGGTTTAGATTTTAGTTCAAAAATATGTTTAGCAAAAATATCTGTTATGAGGATTAATTTTTCATTATCAATGAATGATCAAATAAAATAAAACTTCATAACTCTTGTAGTGGTGACTTGAAGTAATGATTCTTAATATCATAATGGTGTAACTTAAAGTGGATGCTCATTTGAGTAGTTTGTAGAAATAATAAAAGCGAAACAAAAAGCTCTCTTTTTTTGTAGAAATTTATCCTGTTGATAACTCATTTTAATATTTCACATGATCTAGGTTTAATTTCAGAATTATTTGTTTATTATTTCAGAATCAATTATTGCTTTTAAATCAAATTTAAGAAAATTTTTAGTCATTTGTTTTAATTAATTTATGTTTGGAATTTTTCAGAATGTGGCCGTTATTCATACCCCAGATCAAGATGAAACAGATTTCACTAAGGCTCTTAGACTGACCGTTGAAATCATTAAGGATAGAGGTTTACAGGTGCCTATTTTTATTTATTATTTTAGATGTAATGTTTTTTTAAATGTTGAAAAAATATATTTTAATATTATAATTATGACTGTGGAATAAAATTCTGGTTTTCAGATTGTATATGGTTTTACAATCTTTATTATTTTNAGACTGACCGTTGTAATCATTAAGGATAGAGGTTTACAGGTGCTTATTTTTATTTATTATTTTAGATGTAATGTTTTTTTAAATGTTTAAATAATGAATTTTAATATTATAATTATGACTGTGCAATAAAATCCTGGTTTTCAGATTGTATATGGTTTTACAATCTTTATTATTTTGCTTTTGAATTATCTTTATTATGTGGCTAATCTTTGTTAAAGTAAAAACAAAAAATATCTTTTATTTCAAGTTTTAGTACAATTACTTTTTCTAAAAAGCTAGTTACTTCAGAAAAAATAACATTCGTAAATCTAATTACGTATGACCCTTTATTTCATAAGTCATTAAGATAAGTTTATCAACAGCATAAATTTTTCACTAAAATGCTACCTTTTTTTGTAATATGGAGCTTGCGGAAATTGTAAGTTGTTCCAGTATCTTAAGAACAAAACATTTTCTATTTCTCAAAAAAATAACTGAATTGATAGCTTGGTTTACTAATGAGGTATATCCAGATTCACAAATTGTAGTTGAGTCAAATGAAATTTAAAATCACCCTAAATTTACTTTGCTCCTCCCCACACAGGAGGAGACTAGTTTTGCATTCTAGCCAAGTCCGTTTTCTAATCAAAGCAACTATATTATCAACAGTTAGATAATACAATTAAATTTTTGTTTTACGAATTATTTTCACCCTGTTATTGTGCGAAGTTCCTTCATTTGTCATCCAAAAAATAAATGGTGCCTATTTATATGATCAAATACAAATAATATTAAAATTTATGTGTTATGTTGAGCTGAGTACTGTAAAGTTAAGTCAAAATCTTGATGCTGATTTTTTTGCTGAAAATTACTTCAATTTAAATTAATGGTTTTAAGGAAATTCATTAATTTTTCTGAAGTTTTGATAGTTTAATTATCATTTTTTTATTTAACTTAAATTACCCTTTATTTTAGGTTTACACACTTTCAAACATTTCTCCTAAGTTTAATTGCAAGTGTACTTTTCAAATTACAGAAATTAGTACTATTTTATTTTCAACTTTTTGTTTCAAATATCGCCCTTAAAACACAATTTGTTTTAAAAAATCATTGCTGTTCAAAATATAAGTAAATGTTTGTTATACAGTGAACTATCTATTCTATGTTTCTCTTCCTTTATAAAGTTTTTTTTTGTGTGTGATACATATCTTTTTTTAAAAGAAATATATTTTTTTAGTTAAGAATTTTAAACTTGGATTGCAACTTTTATTGCTATGTTTAAACTCCATTTTTATTGCAGGTATCTTCGATTGTTGCCTTAGTAAGAAATGGTGACAGGCTTGACCACATTTTAGGAAATTTAAATACCTTGTACTTGGCTTTAAAGTTTACAACTTTGCCCGTAATGATCTTAGGACATGGTTCTATAACATGGCTTCTTTCAACTGTAAGTGTAATCTAATTATATCACATGAAATATTATAATCCTTTAGTATGTTTTGATAAATGTAATTCTCAAAAAAAAATTATAAAGTGGATTCAATTACAAAAATAACTTTTTGATCATTTAGGACAATTTCATGGTTGGAACAGCTGCGCAAATTGTGCCAAACTGCTCCAAAGCGCAGTTTTATCCCCAAATCGCTCCGAGCTGCTCTAAAACTCTACTTGTATTCATTAAGCAGAAATTGCAACTATAGCATAATTTGGCACCAAATTTGCGTACAAAAACCAGTTTTCGCATCATATTAAAAACAGAAATATAAAAATATTTTTAGAAAAGATTGAAAAAACTATCGATAAACGCTGTGGTCTTATAATAGAATTGGGGTAAATAGAGTACATGAAAAAGCAGTACCTGAAATTCGAATATGCATTGTTTCTGAATTACGCTTCGTAATGACGTTGTATTTAATATATCGGAATTAGAAGAACAAGTTTAGAGCTATCATAAAATGACATGAAATTACATAGGAATAAATCTTGTCAAATAGTCACTTTCAAATAAATTGTTAGTTGTTGCAACCAAAATTCTTTTGTTATAATAGCATATGATTGATTTAAAACATCAGAATATTAAAAACTATGTGGAAATGGCTAAAAAAACGATAGGAAAACTTTGTGGATTTACAATAGAATTGCTATGAATCGAATGTGTTAAAATATGATATCTCAAATAGAAAATTCCTGTGTTTTAACAAAATCATATTAAAAATGTTTCAATTTGAAAAACCATGTGAAAATGTCCAAAATACTGTAAGTAACTCCTGAAAAAATAATGTAGATTTATGATGAAATCGGCTAGCTCAATGCAGTTAAAATTTTTGACATGGAGTAAGAAAGCAGTTTAAGAGAAACTTCGTCAAGTTTGATAGCTGACTTGATCTTTTGCTACTGCAATCTGAAACTGATTTGAAGCCACTTATCATTACTCTTTAACTACATTAGAGTGAGGAATTCTAGTAAAAATGAAACTCAGATCTGTAAATCATAAAAAATAAAAGCAAAAGCAAAATTTTGTCACAATTTTCTTCTAAAAAAATACCTATGTGTGTTTATTTTTCCTTTAAAGTGACTTTAATTAATTTAAAACTATTATAATAATAGTTTTTATCAAACTTTACAGGGATCTCATAAAATACATATTACGGATGAAATGATGAGCTCGCATGTTGGATTGGTACCTTTAGGTAAAGAATGTACTAATGTTTCAACAACAGGACTGAAATGGAATTTGAGTATGTATTAAATGTGAATTTTTAGTGCATAAATGTTAGCTATTGGGGAGATTTCTGTATCGATATTTACTAATTTTTACCACCAACTGGGCAGTAGGGCATGATAAATTAAAAGGAACATCTCACATAGAAATATAACGAAATGTAAAGATATGTGGAGATATGACAAAAAGGTATGTCACATAGCCTCTCAGAAAAAACTTTTAGCGACTTGGTAATGGTAGTTGGCTCAGACATGTATCAATAGGGAAATGTTTCCTAGATGTGTTAAGATTAACAGTTTTCCTGAATTTCTTTATAAACTTTTTTAGTTATTTAAAACCCGCAGAAAAACATACAAATTCAAATTTAATATAAATATATGTTATTAAATAATTAATATAAATTTATGCATATGCGTAATAAATTTGCCTAGAATTATCTTGTAAAATATTTATTCAATAGATAATTACGTAGTATATATTTTTTATACTTGGCTTAAATGCTTTAATATCAGGTTGGGTAAAAAATTCAATTTTAATCTGTTACTTGAAATGAGCAGGCTATATAAAAAGAAAATGTTACCTAGTACTTTGAACCAGCTGGATAAAATATTCAAGTTTTGATGGATACCCTGATCTGATACATCTTTAGTTTTATAAAAAGAAAATTTTGTCCAGCACTTTGAACCAGCTGGATAAAATATTCAAGTTTTGATAGATACCCTGATCTGATACATCTTTAGTTTTAACCTTTGGACATGAATCTTAACATGTCAAAGCCAATTATAATGCTGCATCTGTGGTATCAACCTCAGGCTTTATAATGGCTTGCACGATAAAAATACGAGAGAATTTATTTTTTTTTCTAATCTGACCATTAGTTATTTTTATATTACTCTTTTGAAGTAAATTTCAATATTTTCAGCCCAAGACAAAATGAATTTTGGAGGATTGATAAGTACATGCAACTTGTTCGATAGTAATGTTGTTACAGTTTCCACTGACACACCTTTGATTTGGACAATGGAAGTGAAACTCAAGTAGTTTTAATAAATTTCATCTAAAATTATGATTTTTTGTTAAATGCTCTGTGATACATTGGTTTTTTCTTTAACATAAAAAGTTTAACATTTTTATATGATGGTACAAAAATATTTTATGAAATGTTAGTAAAATAATTTTATCAATTGGTTATCAAGGAAACTCTAAGGTCATAGATATATACTTGTTATAGAATTTATACTATGCTTAATTATGTATTATTAGTAAGCCATAGAGTACTTTACATTAATCTTTTATTTTTAGTTGAAAATTTTATTTCAAATTTGTATTTGTCATAATTTGTTTACCTGTGATTATTATTTTTTTTTTAGATAATTTATTTTTTTAGTACATTAGGTTTTAAGCTATAGGTGTTTACTGATTATAGTATTTATTCTAGACTGTTAATTATGTATTATTTTTAAGTTAATGTACTTTGTACTGGTCTTTCATTTTTAGTTGCAAATTTTATTTCAAAATTGTGTTTTTTTTTTTTTTTTTTTTTTTAATGAAGCTTCTTTTTACAGGCTCTGGAAAATTTTAAATTCTGTTTTTAGTTAGTTCATCTGATACCTAAATTTTAGCTCATTCAAATAGTTTGAACCATTTAGATTTGGTTAAACATATGGACTAAGATTTTGTAAAAAGGTTTTTATAATTTCATGTCATTATTTTTACTAAATGTAAGAAAAAGGGGAAGATTGTTTTACAAAATATTCTAAGTATCTTATTATTAGTTTCTTTTTTCTCCGACTTTTATCAATTTATACTTTCTTTTTTTTACAATCTAAATATCTACCTCTTTTTATTAATATTTTTAGAAAATATTTAGATAAATGTTTTTTTCTATGATAATCAAGTTTCAAATGTGACTTAATAATTGTTGTTACTGTCTATTTTGTTTTACTGAAATTTCTAAAATTTGTTATATTGTGATTGATTTGTACTTATTTAAAAATAAATAAACTCTAATATTACTATGCAATCTTATAATGTTCACTTCAGTCTCGAACAATGTCCTATTTGAAATGTGTCTTAGTATTTGGCAAAATTAACAATTGCAAAGAATACATTAACCGTCCAAGCGTTGAGTCCCTGTGTAAAATTGTACAGAAATTTCCCTGCTATGCACTGCTCTGCCATTAGATAACAGGATAGGAACCAGTTTTTTGATGCAGGAAAGCTTTCAGCTAAAAGTTTAGAAAAAGCCGGAACTAACATTTAGAGGGTTAAAACAGAAATAATTGCTAGGTGATTTTGTGCTAGGTGATATATCAATTTAAAAAATTGAAATAAACTTTACAGGCTTTACTCAGTTATAATCTGTTCAAACATTTTCGATTAGTTAACAATTATAATTTAATGAAAAATTTCTGTGCTGTTCCATTACCTTCATCAATTGTAACAAGTAAATCGGTTCTTGGCTTCAGCATGACATTATTATTAATTGCTTTCATGATATAAAATCAAACCTTTTTTTAAAAAATGAATAATAATTTAGAATATGCACATTGTTTTCTGAGGAAGTAGCACAAACCATTTTGGCAAACTTGTAGGAGAGATGTCCGTATCGTGATCCGGGGCAGAATAATCATCAAGTCTGGGCAACGGCTCGCGAGAAACTAAAAACAAAACATCACTGATGGAGACCAACTAGAAAGGTATATGTAGCTCATAGTCGCCCCGGGCAAACCTCTCAATTTTTTAAAAAATTTTCCTCTTTAAAATCAGTTTGGCGCCTTGACAATTGTAGTTTTGCATGGCAGTTAACGATACGGAAATATCCTCAACTTGTAAATATATTCTGTTATTTTTTCTGTAGAATTTATATCTAAGTACGTTTTAATTATCTATTTTTTTTTAAATTTATTAATTAGTTTTTCAAAATTGTTTACATTGCTCAAAGTATGTGCTAAAAAAACTGTTTTAACGAAATGTTACCATAGTTTAAAAGTATCATAAAGTACACATAATTACTTCTTCCTTTTATTAATATAGATATTAGTGCAATTTGCATTCGCGTTTTATTTACATGAAATATATCATGTATTTGATATCACATTTCTTCTGCCCGTTTTCGTCAATTACGGAATTTCAGTTACTGAAATAGAGAGTCTGTTTTATTAAAAAAATGTGATTCCAAGAGAACGTTAAGAAATATAGCTTGACTTATTGGTCATTAACCACATAAAAGAAATATATATATATATATTGCATAGAAATTTCTTTTCTGAATTATTACTCATCAATTATTTAATTTTGCTGTTTTAAAACTGATATTTGAAGGATTAATTTAAATATCTTAATTGGACTTTAAGTTTTTTTTAAAAGAAATTTTTTGTATTATAATGATTTCTATATTTCATTTAATCCATTTTTATGATTGTCATGAGTGAGCGAATATCTCATAATATATTTTGTTGATATCGATTTCTATATTCTGAAAAAGTATTAGAAGCTTAATAAATAGTATTAAATATGTAATAGCACTTTAATTTAAATGATTTACCCTGAGTACATGAAACTGTAATTTGCTTTATAAATGTATACTTTATACATGATGTAATTTTGATTTTTATTTAAAGTTTTCGCCCAATAAATTTTAAACTTGAGACTGATATGTATAAATTATTTATGTTAAGGAAATTTTCATCAAAAAAGTCATGACTCAGAAATTCATGAACATTCATATTATTTTTCAAGTATTTTGTAAATGTCGAAAATGCTTAATATTTTTAACGCATCCAGTTCTTTACCGTCCAAATGATTCGTTATGATGAAGGCGCTTGTTAAACATATTTAATTTAGATACTAACTAACTCATTTATGCAAAATGTCTCTTTTGGTGATGTTTGATTTCATATACTTTAACATCAGTATTTTTTACTTCATTGTAAATAAGAATTGTAATTGTGATATCGAAGTTAAAAATACTTTTGAAACACTAGGTGGTACATTGCAAAAACTACCTTTGTAATTTCCAAAATGTTTCATTATACTGCAAAACACAAATTACAATATTTTTCCTTTTGTAAATTTGGCTTCATTTCTTTTCTTGTTGAGTAAATTTGATTGGTATTACTAAAAATTTAATTTTTTGTGATTAATAGACATCTGAAATAAATTTCATTGATCTACCTTAATTTTTTAATTATCACTCAATGGTACAATTAAATAAATTTGTTTTCTAAACTTTTGAAGTATACTTTGAACTCTATTATGTGTTGGTATTCTAATAACCTTTACCTGTTGTAACCTTCTTTTTCCTAATTCCTGAAGAAAATTCGAAAATTTTCCTGAAAGAGATTATTTTTGACAAATTGTATGCAAATCTTTGGTTTTAACTTTTTAACAATAGACACTGAGCTGGATTCGGGGTATACACTGTTCGCTTTTCCTGCATGTTTTTTAAAGATTTTGAACCATGGTAGGGAAATTTTTGCACCAGTTGAATGAAATTGCAAAGAAGTTAAAGAGTTACTTGTTATTAAATTAATGTTAATTGCAATTAACATAATTTCTACACTAAATTCTAAACAAACAAACACTAAATTCTGAACACTAATTTCTAACAAACACCAAATTCTGAAAATAATTATGAACTTATGTTAAAAAGTCATAATTTTTATTGTTATTGTTGAGTCATAATTTTTACTTCTCTTAAACTCCACTTTTGCATTAAAATTAGTGAAATAACTTTTTCTGTTTGCACTATGACTAATTAGAACATCCTGTTCCTGATGATGATAATAATTATGATTTTTTATTATAAGTGTGAATATAAATAAACTATGGAAATGAACAATTCATGCATTTGTTTTTTAAATATTAAAAACAACTTTCATGCTGTTGAGCTGTTTTTTGAATTGTAGCTCTTATTTCATAATGTGTACTTATGCCAAATTAGTGAGAATATATTTTTGTAGAATGCGTAAAAAGGAAAATAAAGTTGATATTTCAGATATTTTTCTTCTTGTTGTTCCATTTTTAACAAATATTATTTTTGAAACTCTAATAATATATTTCTCTTCAAAATTTTGATTCCCTTTAAAGGTGGAGTTTAGTTATCTTTTCCTATTTAATTATTTCTTGAAAATTGATAAAATTGTTTCAAAATCGTTATATGTATAAAATTTTACTTAATCTGAAATCAGTGAAATAATCAAAAGAAATAAAAACGACAAAGCAATAAAAATTTTATTCCAAAATTAAAGTTTAATGTCCAAGTAAATAAATTTTAAAAGAATCTTAGTAATATTTGAAATTTTCAATCTGTGTGAAATTAAAAAAAATATTTAAAGATTATTATTTTCTTAGGTTCTGTTTCACCCTATTTAAGATAATTAACTTAAATATTTTTAGAATAGCAGGTTAGCAAAAAGTTTTTTTTATAAATTTTCTTTTTTTAGTTTGAAAACTAAGTATAATGTAACAAACCTTGTCCAATTTCTTAGAGAATTTTAATTTGATCTTTGAGAATTTTTAATAGATCTTTAAGAGCCGTGGTGGTTCAGAGGATAGATCCTTTTCCTTCCAAATGAAGTCAACCATGTATGAATTTTACCGATGACTGGACGATATCAATTCCACACCTGGCTCGCACCGACCACAATGAAAGCGTATAATATTTTCAGAGTAGGCTGATTATGGATTAGAGTCCCCTTGCCGTTAGGTTAATCGTGGTTTATTTTCATGGTCTTTTTCTCCATGTATCGCAAATGCGGGTTTGTTTCATCAAAAAGTCCTCTACAAAAGCAAATTTATCCCAATATACTTGATTCAGGAGTTATTCCTTGCCTTCTGGATTGGGTTATAAAATAAAATAAAAAAAATAGGCCTCTGAATAAGATGAATAGGATATCCTGCTAGATTGAAATATATGTATGTATTATGTTTTTATGTAGAAAAATTGAGAATTCAGGAGCATGATGATAAGCTCTTTATTGCATATGGTAGTATAGGTACTTTATTTACGTTGCACTAGAGCTGCACATTGAGCTATTGACCATGGTCTGGGAAGCATCCCTGAGGATGATCTGAAAGCATGCCATCACAATTTTGTGGGGCCACTTCCCCAATTTAAACATAGATCTGAAGGGGAAGGAAATTTTCTCGATCCGGATTCCTGTACCCATGGTACTGCTCAGCAACCGACCATGGGACTTTCGATTCCACAGATTTTACGAGCACGTACATCGCATGTACTCGGTGGGTCTTAACGGAGTCGATGATTGAACCCCGATCCTTCCGGACAGAAGTCCGATCTCTAACCACTGATGGGCTTTTGTCTCAGAAAGGCGGCAAAATTTGAAGGAAATTTTTTCGAGCTATTTTATCAGGATGGCAGGTGTCATACAAAATTGGATTGTATAAAAATTCCAATGGTTTATGAAAGCTTTCGCCGACTATTTGATTTTATTGTTTTGCAAGCTAAAACTACACTAATGATGAATTCTTAGGCACAAGCGCGACTAAAAGTATTGAGATCCTCGTCCTATATTTCTAGGATTATAAGAGTACTTCAAGTATGCGCGAGTTTCTAAAGTAGTACACGTAGCTTTCTTAACATTCGCATGCACGACTACGGCAATCGCAAACACTGTGAATGCTCCCTGAAAACGTCCCAGAAAGCATGTAACCTTACGACAACCTTGTGTTTTAACTTTATTTTCATTGTCACGAAAAGGTTTGCAGTAAAAACCTTTTTTCAATTACGTAAAAATATTGCAATTTCCTACCTTTCCTCCTTAAAGGAAAAGTAAATGATTTTTAAATCTTTTTTAAAAAATATTGTTATTTGGGTTAAAAAACAAGCAAATTGTAAACCCTATTTTTTGCATTTTTGCTTGCTGTCATGATTAGATTAGCAGAAATATTAAGCGAAAACCTTTTTCAAAGGAAACGAAATAAAGCAAATATTAACCTTTTCAGCGAAAATATTAATAAATAATAAGAAAATATTTTGCAAAGGACCTCATTTAA